TCAGTCCTCTGGCTTGCCAGTGCCGCACTTCCGGCAAACGTCGTTCCTGGCCTCGGGAACCCATCCCGGTCCCAGGGGGGCGCAGCGCGCTCATGCCGAGGCTTGTCCCCTTCTTCCTCATGTTCCAACCTGCCTCTCTCTAGTCGATCTCCTTCCGCTCCCAACTCCACCTCGTGCTGTTGCCCTCGTCGTTTTCCTCGTCCTCCTCATCCGCTCTCCAACTCCTTCCTCCTCTCCCGCTCGCCCTCCTCTTCTGTTCGCCCCCCTCCTCATCTCACAAATCACCCTGGTCGACGTTGTTGTCGTATTGTGCCCAAAATCACCCCACATCGTAGCAACCGTACCCGACTGCTTGTAATGTTGCTGCGCTGCTCACGAAAAAGTCCAAATTTGCAAATCCATAGAAGGCGACACCTTTGCCATGAGTCAAGTGTCGTGGATCTCCTGAACTTATCCTGTGCAAACAGTCCTGTGTGTAGCTACAACAAAAAGCGCAAACTACGCGACGATGCCATCGCCCCACTGCGCATCCTCGTTCCCCTTTCGGAAGGGAGCGATCGAGGGTGACCAGGAAGAAGGAAACATGAGGGCGATAAGAAGAGCGATGGAGGACGGAGCCGACGGGGAGAAGGTGGGAGGAAGGCAGAGGAGGAGAAGGAGGAGGAGGAGGAGGAGGAGGGAGACGAGGAGGGAGAGGAGGAGAAAGAGGAGGAAGAGGAGGAGGATTACGAGGAGAAGGAGGAAGAACAGGAGGAAGGAACATGTGGGAGCATGTCCGTACCCGCACACGTGGTTTCAAACACAAGCCACTCAGGGCACAGAGGGGTGACCACGCCGACGTCGACTCGCACCCTATGCCTGACGGCTGGTGCGTAGGGGGACCTTCAAGCGGCCTCAATTTTGCCGAAACACTTAGCACGCGGAACTGGGTTTGCACCCCCAGTGGGAGCGGACACGAAGTCTCAATGCCCAGCTGGCGAAACACGTTGCTGAAAGTGTGCCCTGCGGAGTGTGTGGCGCTGACATCATGAGAGCAGCAAGTGCCAGGCCCCCACGCACGGGGAGAAAGACGAGGGGGGGAGGAGGAGGTGAGACAAGGGGAAAGCGGGAACATGGAAAAGGATGATATGAGACAAGCGCCAAAAGGCGAACCTGCCCTGGGCCGCAACAGTGGGCTTCTGAGGGGTGGTGCTTGGAGATTCTCGGCCGCGCCATGAAAACAGAATTATGGCAATCATGATGGTGATAATGCTGATGATGACAACGGTTGCGATGATGATGAATCTGAGGATGATGACTGTGATGGGGAGGATTGTGAATAAATCCAGGAGGAGGATCAAAAAGGGGGGAAAGGAGGGGATAAAAAAGGGGGAGGAGGGGGGAGCGGAGGAGGACGAGGGGGATGAAGAGGAAAAGGGGGTTGAGGAGGAGGATAAGCATGAAGATGCGTATTTTGGGGGTGTGCGTCGTGTGCCGAGCCATCTTGGCAGCGAGTTGGACCCCTGGGGGACGATATGGATGCGAGATGGAATGCCACTGGCGGCCCGCCCTCAACAAGGGACTGGCCCGCGTACGCCAGCACGGGATCCTGCTCGGGAAGCGAAGGCAATACGGATTGCAGTAAGCGGGCGGCCACCGCCCTGTGCGCCCCAATTTTTGGCAACACCCATACAACCGCATCCTCCTCGAACCTCAGCAGTACGAATACAATCCCGTCCTCCTCGAAGCTCAACACCCAACAAGATTCGATAATCAAATTGTGCAGGACAATGCTGAAACGCTCCGTCGTCCAATTCCCTTTGCAAACTGCCAACAAATTGAAAGTTGCCAGAAGAAATTCATCGTGATATACACTACAAAATCGGTGGCGACTGTGTGGACGGCATCATCAAAACCCCTTGGCGTTTGAACTGCGTTGTCACTGACTGAATGTGTTTGTTCGTCCTTCACAACACAAAACCTTTCGGTGGCATGTGTTCCGTCTTCTTGTCCGAAGACCGTCCCAAACCAACCACCGTGATAATGCACCACCCCCAGATCGACCCGGCCCCCTAGTTCGCGCATTCTGTCCTGAGGCGTCGCACGATCTCTCCAAAGTTCAATTTGTGGCTCTCCATTATGTCAGTGGCTCTCCATTATGTCACTCACAACTGAATCGTCCGCTGTGTTCCAAAAACAACGTTCGAAATGCCCAGTGCTTTTCAAAAGGTGTATGTATGGGGATTCGCATATTGCAAGCGAGGTCGGGGTAAACATTGCACATGAATAGTCATCAGCCCGGCCCGTACTTTAAGATCATGTCGCTGCTTGCCCCGCGCGCAAACAACGATAGATAATTCGACGTGTGGCGTGATTGCAATAGTTTCGTCCGTCTCGTCCACCGTCTTCGCCGAAACCTCTTTCAATGGAGGTGCGTTCCATCTGTGCAAGATCCGCGTGCCAACCGAGGGCGCATGCACATGCGGTGTCCCTCGGGCAGGAGGCGCGTTCTTTTAATTTGCGGCGGTTTACCCATCGCTTCAAGTGTTTGCGAAGTGAAGCGGGGGTCCCACTTGTCATCGTGCATGATGTCCCGCACTTTCTCGCAGGGTTCCGACGCGTCCTCTCTCCGCGTCTGCAACTGGTGGTTTTCCCCGTCACGCCATCGTCAATGCAGCGCATGAGCGTGTACTTAATTAAATAGAAAGTCTGCGCGGGGGCGGGCTCCACAGCCCCACTGCCGCCCGAAGCCCGTAAGCACGGAGCGCAAAATTACCTCGGGCACGACGCTGCAAACCTTGCGGTTTGGCGGCAGGTTTCGACGCCCTCAAGCAGCAGACTAGCAGAATACGGAAGAGGAAGAGGAGGACCAGGAAAAGGAGGATATATGGTTGTTCCATTCCACCGTTGGCGCACCCACCATGACCATCTTGGGTCGAGCCATGTACATGCGGGATCAGAAAAGCAGCGCAAACGAGAGAAGCAAGAGGGGCCAAGAGGAGCAGCGGCGGGTACTGTGCACGAGGAGTCCGTCGCCTCTGGGGGCGCGTTTCCATCAAAATCGGACCATCGCGATTCGACCTGACCTGATCGCCACTAACGCACGAAACCGAACCACGATCACTCCCCGGGCGAGCGAAGGGCCCAACCCAACGCCCGCAGGGAGACGGGAAGGAGGAGGAGGAGAAGGAGGAGGAAGAGGAGGAGGAGGAGGAGTAAGAGGTGGAGGGAAAGGATGAGAAAGAGGCGTAGGAGAAGGAGGAGAACGGGGTGTAGGAAGAGGAGGAGGAGGAGAGGGGGAGATGGGAAGGACAAGGGGAAGGGGAGAATAGGGGGAGGAGGACGAGGAGGAGGAGGAGGCGGAGGAGGAGGAGTGAGGAGGAGGAGGGGGGAGGAGGAGGAGGAGGAGGAGGAGGAGAGGAGGAGAGGAGGAGGGAGGAGGAGGAGGAGGAGGAGGAAGAGAGGAGGTGGAGGAGGGGGAGGAGGCATGAGGAGGGGTGGAGCAGGGGCGGAGGGCGAGAAAGGAGCAGGTCAACCTCCGCCCGTGCGCCCGCGAAGCGCCCGGAGCCGCTGGGCTGCCGGGCGAACTGCACGTCCGCGCAGTCTGGGTTCGGGCATATCCAGTCCTCGGGAGGGCCAGGGCCAGAGCGAGAGGGACAGCGAGGACGAAGGGAAGGGGTTCCCCCTGCCCCCCCCCCTCCGAGGGGGAGAAACAAGATAGGCCAGATCGCCCAATAGCTGACACCCTACTCCCCACACCCATTACTTCCCTTTGCGATAGCTTTCCTCTATCCACCGACGCGCGTCGTAGCGGACCTGGGCCTCAGAAGGACTCATCGTGCACTGCGCAACCGGAAAAGGGGAGCTGTTGCACCAGGCGCCCCACGGAGCTCTGGAAAAAGGGGAACTGCGTACATCGGAGGAGGAGGAGGAGGAGGAGGAGGTGGCGGATGAAGAGAAAAAATGGAGTGAGGTGGGAACCCGGTCGGCGCGGCAATCGCGCAGGGCACTCAAAGCACGACAGGCCCCAACAACACAACGACATGGACGAGAGTGGTAAGGCATCTGAAGCAGAACATAACGACCATGATGCAGTATATGAAGTGTATGAAGGAGTGGATCGTAGATGTAACATGTGGCGGATATGATGAAATCTAGGAGCGCGCAGATCCAGGCAATGACGGAGTAGATCGTGCAATTGATTACGACGGCGTAGAGGCCCCACCCGAAAATAAGGCCCACGCTGCACCAGGAACGCCGTTCTGGAAAGGACCGACAACGTTCGGGTTGAACAAGCACATAGTAATCACAAAACGGCTCGTACCAGTCCTGTGTGAAACAATGCTGGAGGAAGGGGCGACACTTTCGGGAGTGTCGTATTCACAGCGTGTGCTTGTGGGCAAACAAACGGATCACATGATGCTCGCCATGGAAGCGGCAACGCGTTGCCCACAAATGCCCCGTGCGAGGAACGAGTCACGGCGTGGTACAACCCAGCCACCTCTCAGACCCCACATTGAACAATCAAACATTGAGACGCCACATGCCACCAAGTAAGCAGGGCGCGCCTGGCAAATCCGCCCGATCGGCAAAACAGTGAACAAGAAAACGACCACATGGCTGTGCTGTGTTTGCTCCTTTGACCCTGGAGGACGAGGAGGGCACCCCACGAATCTCGCTCGAGGACGAGGCGAGAGCCACCGTTCTCGGGGAAGGAGAGCGCCGCGGGAGGCGGGTGCGCCGCGGGGAGGGAGTCCCGATGTCGGGAACGGGGGCCCAGTCCTCTTCCTCATCACCTCCCCCTTCCCCTCCTCCTCCTTCCCTTCCTCCTCCGCCTCCTTCTCCTCCTCCTCTTCCTCTTCTCCTCCTCCTCCTCCATCTTCTCCTCCTCCATCTCCTCCTCCTCCTCCATCTCCTCCTTCTCCTCCTCCTCCTCCTACTTCTCACCTTCCCCTCCCCCTCCGTTTCGTTCCTCCCTACTCTCCCCTCCTCCTCCCCCTTCCCCTCCTCCCCCCCCTCCTCCTCCTCCTCCTCCTCCTCCTCCTCCTTCTCCTCCTCCTCTTTTTCCTCATCCTTTTATTCCTCCTCATCTTCCTCTTATTCCTCCTCCTGGTGGCCCTCGTGGCTCTGTCGGCCTGAGGGGGGTCGTCAGTCGGGTGGGAGACCAGCTCAGAGGGGGGACGCCTCGACTCGGGCTCGGCGATGCCTCGCCGATACATCGGCGATGCGCCGCCGATGTCGACGCCGCATTATCCTGCCGGTGGCCCTCGTGGCTCTGCTTTCCCGAGGTGAACATGCGCGCGAGACATCCGGCTGTCCCCCTCCTCCCTTCCCCATCCCCCAACCCAACAACTAATGAAAGAGGGGTGTGGGGGGGGGGGCGAGGTCATCGACGCACCCCCGGGGCCTACGGGGCCCCCACACGGCCCCAAGACAGCCCAACAGGGCCCGGCAAACAGAGCGCCAAGGCAGCCGAAGAGAGCGCCATGATGGCCCAAGGTAGTAGCCCCACGACGATCCAAGACGGCTTCAAGATGGCCCACGAGGCCCCTGAGACAGCCCAACAGCGCCTCCAGAGGATCGCCGAGAGGACCCCAAGAGGCCAAAATCATCCCCTTCCCCAAGAAACGCGTGCATATTCAGCACATTCGCATTGTACGTCTTGCCGGCGAACACGACGGCCCAAGTGCCCCACAAGATCGCCCCAAGGCCCCAAGAAGGGCTCACGAGGGCCCAAACGACAAGACAGCCAGTGGAGGGCCCCAAGAGAGCTCCAAGAAGGCCCGAGAGGGGAATACGAATTGACATATCGAGCCTTTCCCACCGAGATGGCCTCTCGAGACCCGCAGAGGCCCCCGAGAGCCCTCCAAGGGGCCCCAAAAAGCATCCCAAACGCCCCCCCAAAAAAAACCCAGAGGCCCCGCGAGGCCCCAAAAAACATCCCACGTGCCCCCATGAGTTCTCCAAGAAGCCCCACAGAGGCATCCCAAGAGCAGGAGACCATCAAATTCATCCAAGAGGCTCCAGAACCGAGATATGAATTCCACGATCGTCTCAAACGCTTATTCCTTGTGGGGTCGGCGGAATGGCGCAAGCCGCTTGATAAGTCCACGTCCGGGAGTGACGCGATGAGCTGCAGCGTTTTTTTTCTGCGGGAGCGATAATGTAACAGACCCATGGTATCTAATAGTTGTAGGTTTTATACATATTGTACTGCGCTACGATATTATATATCCCCCGACCCCCCCCTTTCGAGTGCCGTTCCAGGGTGCCAAATTTGACGGCCACCATCTCGGGCTCTCAAAACATATATATATATATATATATGTCGAAACCAATTGCCCTAGCCAGCCCAACCAGCCAACCAGCCACCCAAACAACTCAACCGGCTCAACCAGCCCAACCAGCCACCCCGCAACCCCAGCCAACCCGCCACCCCGCCAACCCGCCCACCCCCGCCGCCTGCCCTCCGTCACCGTCGAGAAGGGGGGGGGGAAGTGTTTCTTACAAGCGAAAACCACAAAAATCACCCTCCCGGGGTCCGGCGGGACAGCGGGGGGAGGGGAAATCGCGCCGTACTATGCGGGAGCGGGATTCGCGCCCGAGGTGCCCAAAGACGATTTGGGGCCTCAAATGCGACACTGTCGTCACTTTATTACCTTTCACTGCGCTCCCCTTCTCAACGGAAAGGCTCCCGTCCGTGAAACTGTCGTAATTTTTCAGCCCCCGCGAGAGGCTTCTTAGAGGCCCCCAGAGGCTCCAGGAGGGCCCATGGCGGCCTCGGGAGTGCCTAGGAGACCTCCGGAGGGCCCCAGGGGGACCCACTCTGCACCGCGCCCCCCTTCTCAACGGAAAGGCCCCCATGTGTGAAATTGTTTTCATGATTCCGCCCCCGCGAGAGAGTTCTTAGATGGCCCACGGAGGCTCCAGGAGGGCCCATGGCGGCCCAGGGAGAGCCCACGAGATCTCAAGAGCCCCCCGAGGACCCACTTTGAATTACACTCAGGGAGCTCCAGAGGGCCCAGGAGGCTCCAAGAGGCCCCAAGAGGCCCCGAAGACCCCAAATAGGCCACAGGACCCCCAGCACGCTCTAGGAGAGCCACGGCGACACCAAGAGGCTCCAGGGCGGGCGTCGTTCCCTCTCCTCCTCCTGCTCGTCGTCGTCATCCTTCTCCTCATCCGTCCTGCTTCAAATCCTTCCTCCCCCTCTTCCTCCTCCTTCTCCTCCTCTTTCTCCTCTTCCTCCGCCTCCTCCTCCTCTTCCCCCTCCTCCTCCTCCTCCTCCTCCTCCTACCTCATCCGTAGCCTCGATGGCTCCGATAGCGCCGTGCGCGAGATCCGCCTCCTCCCCATCCGTCCTCCTCCCTCCTCCCTGCTCCTTCCCTCCTCCCTCCTCCCCTCTCTCGGGAGCGTCACAAAGAGGCCCTCCGAGGAGAATTCACGACAACAAGGGCGCCGACCCGATGAACAGACACCACGTCGGGGCTCTGGGAACGGAGTCGAAAACGAAACCTCGAATAACTCGTCTTCGATGTTCGGGGCATTCTTCTGACCATCTGCGAGCCTTGTGGAAACTTCCGAGAGCCTCAGGGGTGGACGTCTGGCGCAAGAACACGAGTGGAGGAGGAGACAACACGACGCTTTGCTCACCCGTATACCGTGTCAGTTGAGGTGCCTTGGGGCCTTTGCCGACGACGTCGGCGTTGCCACGCACAACATCTTCGAATCGTTCAAGGCTCCTCTTCCTGCGTGGCAGGTCGCTGGTCGAGCCGCGGGACTCCACGCGCATGTGCAAAAATCTGTGCTCGTGCCGCTCATCCGCATCAGTGCCGACGAGTGCTCGGCGCTCGCTCAGGAGTACGGCATTGGTAACAATCGCGTTGTTCTTCCTGCAGGAACGTATCTAGGGGTCACCCTCGGTCTCTAAGGGCAAGAGCTCAACTGGAGGGCCCCCGCGGCCAAGTGTCGGTCTCGGGCTTTTGAGATCAAGAGTTCGGGGCTGGGTGTCTGTAAATCCATCGCGGTGTTCAATATTCTCGCCTTTTCCGTCCTGTCCCACATCATGCAATTCTACCCGCCGCCCCCCCTGGTGATCCGCACGGTGAGGAGAGCCTACCAGGTCATCACGAATGCGCCCAACGCTAGCCTCGCCCAAGGGATCCTAGAGAACCTCAGGGAGTGGGGGTTCCCTGGTCAGATTAAGGCGTTTCTTACTGCAAGGCGTGCAGCTATGTTCTGTGCCGCCATCATGTCCCCAGCCTTCTTCGACGTCAAAAAGCTGCTTGAGTCCTCCGTGTTTGATGACGACATGCTGCTCACGTGGAGGAGCAACTGTGTGTGGACAAATCCCGCTATACATCATATGATCGAGAATTACAACATGCTCGTCGCCATCCCGACAGTTCTGTCGTTCGGTACTCCGAGATTTCGGGCCACTACTGAAAACGCCCTTCGTGAGCTGACCCCCATTCCCGCTTCGTAGCACCCTCGCTCGTCGTCTCGCTAAATTCGGCACCGCTCCTACCCCCTACCAGCTTGACTTAATGTATCTAGCGTTGAATCGGATAGGGAAGCACACGAATTCATGTAAGTCTTCCTGCGATGGGAGGAGGAGGAGGAGGAGGAGGAGGAGGAGGCGTGGGACAAATGAAGACGGCTCCTCCTCGTTTACTTCGACGGCAGTCTCAACAACTCCGTTCCTGGATATGCTCGGGCGGATCCAAAACTCCTTCGTGATGGCTTCGTCCCCTCTCTGCTCCACTGGATGCTCCCGTGATTCCATGCTCGGGGCAACTCGCCTGGCGATCGTTTTTGGATGGGCTGATGGGACTACGCGGAGCGTCGAGAGGCTCAGTGACTCCATCGCGACCGAGGGCGCGGGCTTCCGACCGCCGAGTGCCTTGTGCCCCGCCGCTCTCGCCACACGAAAACCGATCCGGCAGCGCGCGCTGGCGCCACGGATGTGAAAAGGTCGAGCTGGGCGCCGGAAAACCGACCTGGCTCTGCCTGCCAGCGTGATCGCTGGGGTCGATGCTATGCACCTTTGTTCTCAGCGAATGAGAGCAACTCCGAAGGGTGTCCTCTGATCCGAGCCGCTGCGGCCGGAAAGCATCGCAGCATGAACAAACTGTCATCAGGAGGATGGATGGAGGAGGGAGCGCGTCATTAGAGGGGAGGAGCGAGGAGGGACAGGGAGAGGGGAGGAATGAAGGAGGAGCAAGGGAAGAGGGAATAGAAGGTAGCTGGGAGGTGGATGATGGATAAAATTGGAAAATGGCGCAGAGAAGATCGACTCAACCTGGCGGACTTGCCTCGAAGATGCTCGCAACCGTCTCCCCAGCCAGAACACCGCCGAAGCGCCGGTCCCCCGGCAAGACAGCGTCGACCCGCGCGGCACCGCGACCGAACCTGCTGCTACGATACTCTGTCAGCAACTGCTCGTAGATGTCCGAAAGGCGAGTGGCAAGTCCTACTACAATTCGGCATCGCTCCTCCCCGCGGAGGGTCGTGAAGCGTACCGACTCGCCGTCGAACGAGGCCTGCAGGAGTAGCGTCGGCATCAAATGATCTACGTAAGATAGGCCAGCGACCAGCGCCGGGAGGTCGCACTGGCGCTGCTGGCTCTTGCCACAGGCAACGGCAACGCCATCGCTCCTGAGCAGCACTGTGTGCTCACCTCCAGCGACGATCTGCACGTAGGTCAGGCCGGCGATCAGCGATGGAAGGTCGCACTGGCCATGATGATTCTTGCCACGCGCGACGGCCGTGCCGTCGCTCCTTAGCAGGACTGTATGGCCACCCCCAGCGGAGACCTGCACGTAGGTCAGGCCGGCGGCTGGCGCCGGAAGGTCGCACTGGCGCTCATGATTCAAGCCACACGCCACGGCCGTGCCATCACTCCTGAGCAGGACAGTGTGGACACCTCCAGCGGAGACCTGAACGTAGGTTAGGCCCGTGACCATTGGTGGGAGGTCGCACTGGCGCTGGTGATTCTTGCCACAGGCCACAACCGTACCGTCGCTCCTGAGAAGGATTGTATGGCCACCCCCAGCGGAGACCTGCACGTATGTCAGACCCGTAACCAGCGCTGGAAGGTCGCACTGGCGATCTGAATTGTCGCCGCAGGCCACGGCCGTGCCATCGCTCCTGAGCAGGACTGTATGACCACCCCCAGCGGCCACCTGCTCGTAGCTCAGGCCAGCGACCACAGGCGGAACGTCGCACTGGCGATGCTCGTTATTGCCACAGGTTACAACTGTGCCGTCGCTCCTAAGCAGCACTGTATGCTCACCTCCAGCGGCGACTTGCAAATATATCAGGCCCGCGACCAGCGCCGGAAGGTCGCACTGGCCAAAACTATTGCAGCCGCAGGCCACGGCTGTGCCATCGCTCCTGAGCAGAGCTGTGTGGCAACCCATGACAACGCCCATCTGCCCTGCCAGAGCCTGCCGTGGAAAGGCTCGGAAAGGGGCTCGGCTCGGCTCGAGCCAGGAGCGGCCGCGGCATGCTGGCCAGAAACCCCAGGACGCGAAGGCGACGAGCTGGGGACGGGTCGGGGTGGACGAAAGAAGCGGCTACAACAGGGGTAAATGGCGAATGAGGTGCATGTAGCTGGTTTTCCTGGCGCAGCCCAGCACCGGAAGAGATCCAGCGTTTCGAGAAATACGCTGAGCGTCTTCCTCCTGACCCTCTGTTTCCTCCTCCTCCTCCTCCTCCTCCTCCTCCTCCTGCTCCTCCTCCTCCTGCTCCTCCTCCTCCCCCTCCTCATCCACGGGGGCTCTTTTGGGTTGCCCTGACGTGAATAGTCCTCCTCCTCCTCCTCCTTCTCCTCCTCCTGCTCCTCCTCCTCCTCCTCCCCTCCTCTTTTTTACACTAGGCCAAAATGAGCCTAGGGGCTGTTGAGCTCGCGAGAAAAACATGGGCGCATGTCCAAGCCGACTTGAGGTACAGGCACAGTCAGGTCACCTGACAAACGCCGCAGCAGCTGAAATGAAAGAGCGCGGTGAAGAAGATGAAAATGAGCAAGCGCCTGCCAGGTGGTGGAGCCCAGCTATCCTGACCGTAGTATACCACCGATCTCGTCCAACAAAGTACCTCGCCCAACTAACTACCCCTCAATGCCTAATGAGGGGTAGCCAGGTAAGTACAAGGCTGCGCAGTTAGCGTAAGAGGCCAACAAGAAAGGTAGCGTGTGCCGCGTATCCCTGCTGCGATAGAAACAGGGATGACAGGCTTAGATGGCAAGCTGCTGCTGTAAACAATTCTGCAGGCTGAGCTGTAGCCGTCAAATGGTGTGTCTCTCCTGCCCCGTGGCTCAGGAGGTACGACCCCGCTGTGCCCGCAACCACCACCAGTACGTAAGTAGCTCCACCCCCGCGGAGTATAATTGCAGGCTGGCAGTCAAGTGTGACGGGTGGGGGCAGATGCCAGCAGAGGTATGAAAGAATGCAGCGTAGGCGACAGTGGGAGGAAGAGGGGAACGGACGATGGGGGGGGAGAGTGTGCAACGTGGTCCATCTGTGATAGATACAGGGATGCCAGGCTTGGATGCTGGTGCTGCTGAACTATCAACTGCAATGAATTGTTGGGTCTTCCCCGCCCTGTGGCTCAGGTGCCCCCAAAAGTATGAGTCCTCCTCCTCCGCGCCGTTATACCGCCACCTCAGTGAGCCCGCCCCCCCTCGATGTATGTGTATATATATATATATATATACTAGAACCACGCGCGCGCTTCGCGCGCGCTTAGGTTCTAGTTTGCTCCGAAAACGGTGTTCGCAAGCACGGGTCCGATTCCGTGGCGATTCGCGGGAAATCTACGTCCGAAAATGACGTGTTGCCAGAGGCAGGTCCGCGGATGCTTTGATGCAACGTGTCCAGTGTATCCAACGATTGCATACTTGTTACATATGCTACACATTGTATTGTTCTGCAATATTAGGCCCCCCCCTTGGAGCCGCGCCACATCGTCGGACCAAATCTGGAGGGCCTCATTCTGGGCCTCAAAACATAGAAAGACCTATGGAGGCCATGTTGGGCCGTATCGGAGCGCTCCGGGGGCCCTCTCGGGGCGACCGGGAAGTCTCTTGGGCCATCTTGGGCGGACTGGGAGGCCCGGGGGCCGCCCGAGGAGCGTCCCAGGAAGCCCTCCTAGGCCCTCTTAGCGCTGTCCTCAGGCGTCCTGGGGCGTCCTTGGGCGCCTCCTGGGGCTGTCTGACAACTCGGACAGCCAAGGGATGAGATATCCTAAAAATGTACGTTTTACGAAAGGAAATGGGGCCATTTTGGTTTCCCGGGGCGCTCTTGGGGGGCCTCTTGGAGGCCTCTTGGGGCGGTTTGATGGCCTCTTGTCCCTTCTGGAAGCGATCTCTGGCGGTCTTGAAGCGATCCTGGGCTTCTCTCGGCGCTCTTGGAGCCTTCTTTGGCGGACTGGGAGGCCCAGGGGCCGCCCGAGGAGCGTCCCGGGAGGCCTTCCTGGGCTGTCTTCGGGCTATCCTAGGGCGCCTCGTGGGGCTTTCGGACCGCTCCGACAGCCAAGGGAGTTGATATCCTTAAAATGTACGTTTTACCAGGGGAATGGGGCCATTTTGGTCTCCCGGGGCGCTCTTGGGGGGCCTCTTGGAGGCCTCTTGGGGCGGTTTGATGGCCTCTTGGCCCTTCTGGAAGCGATCTTTTGCGGTCTTGAAGCGATCCTGGGCTTCTCTCGGCGCTCTTGGAGCCTTCTTGGGCGGACTGGGCAGCCCGGGGGCCGCCGGAGGAGCGTCCCGGGAGGCCCTCCTGGGCCGTCTTGGGGCTGTCCTCAGTCGTCCTGGAGCGTCCTTGGGCGCCTCGTGGGGCTTTCTGGCCGCTCCGACAGCTAAGGGAGCTGATATCGTAAAAATGTACGTTTTACGAAGGGAATGGGGCTATTTTGGTCTCCCGGGGCGCTCGTGGGGGGCCTCTTGAAGGCCTCTTGGGGCGGTTTGAGCGCCTCTTGACCCTTCTGGAAGCGATCTTTGGCGGTCTTGAAGCGATCCTGGGGTTCTCTCGGCGCTCCTGGAGCCCTCTTGGGCGGGCTGGAACGCGCGGGGGCCGCCGGAAGGGCGCCCCGGGAGAGGGCCGCACCCTATATACAAGGGGGGTTCCGGCCCGGGGCCCGGGGCCCGGGATCTCCCATATATGTATATATATATATATATATATAATATATATATATATATATATATATATGCTAGAGCATTGAAGATCCGCAATTCGGACTTCTTGGGGGGCGAAGGAAGCCGCGAAATGACCCTGGACGCCCCCGGGCCCAGCCAAACCGGCCCCAAGACGGCCGCTCCAGCATTGCTTGACGCCCTCAAAACGGCCCAAAGGGGGGCCCCAAGAGCGCCCGCAACAGCGCCCCAAAGAACCAAAAACATGCACCATCCGCTTCGACTCAAAAACCCATGGCGACGACAGCAACAGCCAAAAAGGCCCCAAGAACGCCCGAGAACCCTCTAAGAGGGGCCCGACGCGGCCCCAAACGGACCAACAACGACCCCGAAGACGGTCTAGGAGGCCCCCAGGACTGCCCCAGAGGACCCCAAGAACGTCCCAAGGCGGCCGCGAGAAGCTTTCAAAACGGCCTCCGGAGGCGTCGGAGCCTCCAAACCTGCAAAGACTTCGACTACACGTAGGAGTGACCCTAGGCTAGAGTGACCTTTGGTGCGCGGCCCCAAGGGCGCCCGTGGGGGCCCAACGCAATCGCGCAAGCCGGCGTTGCCGCGCCGCGTCAAAAACCGGCGGGGCGCCACTCGATTGTTTTCTTGCGCCGCCGGGCGAACGCGAAATTCCGCCGATTGAATTCGAGCGCCCCGAATGGCGCTTCGAACACGCTGCGAAAACAGACGCTGCTGGGGGCCACCGCGACGAGGTCTGGCACTGCCAGGCTGCATCGCGATGACGTCTGACAAGGCCCTATCCGAGTGCCTGGAACACGTTTGAGTATCATTGGGTAACTTATAACAGTTAAGATCCCCATTGGTTCTTCAAACAAACATATTCGAAGGTATTCAAAGATATCCTGAAACATATTCAAAGATATTCAAGCCAGACATTTTTGGATTTGGGCTGGGATTCGGGACTGGCCCCGGGCCAGAAAACGCGCCGACTGGTCGACCTGCTCCCCCTCGGGGAACTAATGCAAACTGTAGGGTGCATCGCGTATGCGCTGCTGTCGATTGCAAGTGGTGGGCCGAATCCTGGCGCGTTCAGACGCGAGCGCAATCACGCGATGCGGGTGCCGACGCGAGGTCAAGTTCATCCAGCAAGAAAAATATCCCGACACCCTTTGGGCCAGCACCAAAGGTCACTCCGGCGAAGGGTCACTCTTACGTGTAGTCGAAAGAAGGCCCCCTAAACGGACCGGCCTGGCCCCACGATGCCCGAGAGAGCCGTCCGAAGCACCCCCCAAGGGCCAAGAAGTCCCCACGGAGCTTCACTGAAGCGCCCGATAACGCCCTTGCGCATCGTGCGGGAAGCTTCATCAAACAGCTCCGCAAGCTGGTCCTCCGCGTACGTGCGACGCTTGTACACGCGGTCCCCCGACCCAGCGTTGACATGCTGCACCTAGCTCGACGCGCGCAGCGAGGTCCAGTGCGCCTCTTCCTCTGACGTCGTTCACTTCGCTGCATAGCTGGACACAGGGCGGTCCCCAAGACGGCTCTCCAAGGATCCATGCGACCCTGCCGCGCCCGCAGACGTCCTGGGGCGTTCCCAAGAGTCAGCCAAGTCTCATGAAGTCGATGCCCACAAGAAACGACGAACATCTTCCAAGACGCCCAAATGCCCGCACTCTCCGCATTCCTCACGAAGCGTACTGGAGGCGCACAAACCCAGGCAACGCCCACATTGCACGTCTATGTTTCTCGTTCGCGTTTTCGGGGTTGCGGTCTACGGGGTCTCTCGTGCGCTCATTCATGACACGCGCATCGGCCTGGCAGCGGGCTCGCATGGACTCCGCGGACAGCGCGGGCGCAGCACGCTGTGAAGGGCGGTGCGCAGCAGGGGCCATGCCAGCGGTCACGGGTGAAACAAGCATCGTCAGCCACCATGGAGCGCACTATGGCTTCCAGCAGGCCGGGCGGAGCAACCCCTCGCTGCAACCATCCTCCCAGTTGGTTTTTCGTGCGGTTTGGTCCAGATATATGGCCCACCAGCACAGCCCCAGGTGCTCTGACGATCGGAAATTCAGCCGCCACTGCGTCTCAAACGCTCGAAGGTTCGAGCGGTGCTCCTCTGGGTCCCGATGCTCTTCCCGATGGACCCACGCGTGCCATCCCTTCACTGCGCCGGCCAAGCGCGGGGACTCCGAGATGTTTCTGGCAATTTCGGCCAAGGGCGCGTGCTGGTGCAAGTTCGCGAAGTACACGAAACCGTGAAAGTGGAGCGTGCCCAGGTGCTGGTTTTCTACCGCCCCTAGCAGAGCTGCGGCAACTCCTAGAATTCCGCCCATCGGCCGAGAGTTCAAGCCGAACCTGTCCGTGCACCGGCACGCGGGGCCGCGACGCCGTCGGCTGGCGACGCCGCACTCCGCGCACAGCCGAAGGCCCAGGAGGCAACCCAAGATCACGTCCACGGCGACGCGGAAGCCCTGCACGTTCACGTTCAAATCTCATGAAATCGATGCCCATACAAAAACGATGAACATCTTCCAAAACGCCCCAAACGCGCGCCCTCTCCGCAATGCGGACGTGCACCCCGCGAAGCGAGAGGAATCGGCGGTGGGCTGCCGATGGCGACACACCATTCTCCTGCTGGTGACCCTCGTGGCTCTGCTGGGCTGAGGGGGAACGTTAGGGTTAAGTCGGGCATGTCCCCCTACAGGCGGACTTTGAGCGGAAAAGAAAGAATTGTCGATAAATAAAAAAATCAAGAATACCCCAAAAATCGTCACCTGAGTATTTTTTGGGCTTTTTGGAAATGTCCCCCCTGTAGAGAGACAGGCCCGACTTACCGTTAGGCGGGGAAACCCAGCTCACTGGGGGAAGCATCGACCTGGACTCGGCGACGCCTCGCCGACAAATCTGAAGGGGCCCTGGGACACAAGAATAAAGACACACAAATAACAGGGCTCCCCATAATTCCCAATATTTTCTGGTGTTTTGTTTCCCCCCCCAACGATTAATTGGTGTGTTATGTGTTTTATAAACGATTTATTGTGTTTTATCGACGATTTTATGTATTGGTCCCCCCAGTATTTCTAGTGTTTTATCAACGATGAATTGTGTCTGTGTGCTTTTTCCCTCCTGAAAATCGGCGATGGGCCGCCGATGGCGACGCCACATGCTCCCGGAATTGCTGGGCCGTCAGGCCCCTCTCGGCGACGCACGGGTGGGTGGGCCTGGTTTCCACCACCACCACCACCACAAGCAGGAGGGGGAGGGGGTTCTCCTCCTCCTCCTCCTCCTCCTCCTCCTTCCCCCCTCCAACTTCTGGTGGTGGTGGTGGTAGAAAAAAACAAGCCCGTCATGGGTGATTGCGGGTCGATGCATCCCCCCCTGGGCCAATCCCCTCTAGCGTCGCCCCTGATGGCAGGCCTGAGCTGGATCGAGCCGCGAAATAGAATCGGACTGGGAACGAATCGCATCGCGCCTGGGTGGTCGCGGAATCGGATCGTTCGGGATCGCGGCGCGTGCCCGGCCGGAGAGCGGCTCCGTCCGCGCCGGACCGGATCGGGCGACATCGGAATCGAGGCCCAAGGATCGAACGGATCGAGCCAGACCGCGAACAGCCTTGCCCCCTGGTGTTTGGTCATGATTCGGCTCTGCGCGCTTCGCCTGGTAGTCTGCCCGGGGCCCCTGCGGCTCTGCCGGTGGCCCTCGGAGCGCGGGGGGGCCGACGCCAAGGGCCGAGGAGAGCGTGAGCGGGAAGGCGGGAGGTCGAAGAGGGGGACCTGCCCCACCAGCACTCGTGTTCGACCATGATGTCGTTGTAACCCGTCGGCGTTGGGCGGCCTCTGGCGTCTGACGGTCTTCGGCGGTCTTCGGCGGCCTTCTGGCGGCCTTCGGCGGCCTCCGGCGGTCTTCTGACGGTCTTCGGCGGTCGTTGGTGATCTGTGGGGGTCTCTGGTGGTCTTCTGCCGTTGTCGGGGCGGAAGCTGCGCGGTTGCGTTCGACAAGGGGCCCATGATCGAACACCTCAACGGCTGTGCTGTGCACGGGCAGAGACACATTCGCCTATGCCGCGCCGCCCTGGCAGAAAGAGAAGCGGGCACCCTGCAGCATCGAGGCATCGAGCCAACACGGCCACGTACGGGGGGCTCCCAGGCCACCAAACTTCCCGCAGCGCGCCCTGCAAAGAGCGACGCGCGAACATTTTTGCGCCATCGCGCCGACCTCTGTGAGAGGGGCAGCCAATTTGGCCTAGAGCGCGACGCGCGATTATCTTGGCGCCCGCTAGGGGTGACACAAATGTACGGCAACAAAGCGATGACCATGTCCAACATAGAACACGGAATCATCAATTTGTGGATCACCTTCGCGAATCAGCGACGGCCGGCGTGGACCATGACGAAGATCGGAGTCGACAGGATCCCGCGACACCTCGGTCATGGTACGTACTTCGGGGCGTGCAAACATGGATGAACGATCCATGGATTTGGCGACCGGTCGCCAAATCTATGGAACGGGGGAGGTGCCCTCCCCAAAATGCGGCTGGTGCCGCCTCGTTCGGCGGCGGAAATCCGCGATTCCCCATGGAAACGGGACCCGTCGCTAATCCACGCCCCCTTGATCCATGTTTGCGATCGCCTCATTCTTCCCACGCAACACTCCTCCTCATCCGCCCCCTCCTCGCCCAGTGGGGTCGGGAAAGCGGTCGGTCCCCCGTCTTCATGATCTGACCGTTGTTGCTGACCCTGTGGCGCAAGGGCGGACAGGAAGCTGCGAGGAGAGGGGGGAAAGGGCGATCGAGAGGATGAGGACTCGACTCGACTCCACTCTTAGAAAACAAGGGATACCAAACCCGAGAGGGGGCACTCAGCTGAGCAGCATGAGCAGAGACAGGCCCGGGACTGAGCCGACTCAGCCGTGCCAGACGGGGCCCTGCTCTTAGCGGGTCTGTCCCGTACGAAAAAACATGTTAGCCAGCGACAATGCTGAATGACATCTCCAAGGAGCCAAGGAGTTGCATCTCAACGACTCGACTCTGACTTGGATCCAGCACGTCGGTGCCCTCTATAGCAGCTCGGACATCCACAGCGCATTGCCCTCGGACGCGCGAGAGCAAGCTCACCGTTGGCAGCAGGTCGTTCCCCTGGGCCCGTCGGGGTTCGATGACGCCTCACTCGCAAGCCAAGATGCGCGGCGCACATCTGCGCATCTGCAAAGTCCGAACGGGGATGGGAAAAGAAGACGGAGACGAGAAAAACGCAGGGACCCAAGAGCCGGCATGAAGGGAAGGCACTGTGGAACAAACAACATTTGTTACTACATTGCTGTATCGCGCGCAGGGCGGCCCTGGATGAGAAAGACCCGGGCTTAGAACGGGGGGCGCGCAAGAAAGCGACAATATTCGGGTCAGCTTGACGAAGGGGCTCCGCGGTGGGCCCCCTAAGAGGGCTCACAAGAGAGACCCCCGAGAACGGCCAAAGAGAGGCACTCCGAATTCTGATGTCGAGCCCGTTCCCACACATGTAGCCTCCGAGACTAACTCCAGGCCCCCGAGAGGCCTCCAGAGGCCCCAAAGGCCCTTCCCCAAAAGGCCCCAAGAGAGGCCGCAAGAGGCCCCAACAATACGCCCGACAAAGACGATGGGAAATCGCGCAAGGTGGGGTTACTCGCGTGTGCACCTTCTCAACCTAGCGCTGCTTCGAACGGCGGCGGGGAGGGGGAAATGGGGAAGTGTGGCGGGGGGGGGGGGGGGGAAACGGTGAATTTCCCCCACCATCGCAAATGGAGGCGAGGGAGAGGGTTGGGGAAGGGGGGGAATGCCATACAAATCAACTCGCCCAGAATACACGCACATATATCTGTGTGTGTGTGTGTGATCAAGCAATGTTTGCACTTCGAGATTCCAGTTTCTCTTCTAAGGAAGTGGGCCTGTGCGTCGATCTTCCGGCTATGTGCCTGTGCCGTCGCCACTCCGTCGCCGCCATTCCCCAAAAGGCCCCAAGAGAGGCCGCAAGAGGCCCCAACAATACGCCCGACAAAGACGATGGGAAATCGCGCAAGGTGGGGTTACTCGCGTGTGCACCTTCTCAACCTAGCGCTGCTTCGAACGGCGGCGGGGAGGGGGAAATGGGGAAGTGTGGCGGGGGGGGGGGGGGGGAAACGGTGAATTTCCCCCACCATCGCAAATGGAGGCGAGGGAGAGGGTTGGGGAAGGGGGGGAATGCCATACAAATCAACTCGCCCAGAATACACGCACATATATCTGTGTGTGTGTGTGTGATCAAGCAATGTTTGCACTTCGAGATTCCAGTTTCTCTTCTAAGGAAGTGGGCCTGTGCGTCGATCTTCCGGCTATGTGCCTGTGCCGTCGCCACTCCGTCGCCGCCATGTCGCCGCCCGACGTCTGGGGCTGTGCGTTGGGGTGTGGCGGCTATGTTGTCCCCGTCGCCGCCCCGTCGCCGCCCGACGTCTGAGGATGGGTGTCGGTCTGGCGCCTATGTTGCCAGCATCGCACCACGTAGATTGCAACATAGGTCTGCACCACATGAATTGCACCATCCTTCCTGCACAACATAGATTGCACCATCTAGATTGTACAACGTATAAGCTTCCACTTAATGCACCACCTAGATTGCGCAATACATATTGCGCCAGAACGGTTGCACAACATATACGGCACAGAAACTATCGCACAACAGATATCGCACCACCAAGGCTGCACAACATGGATTGCACCGCACATTTGTTTAGAACAAAATAGATTCGACACCCATCCGCCACCCTGGGGCTACCTCCTCACCTCGTATTGCGATGTGCATACTACTCTTCCCCATCGTCCACCCCAAATATGAAACCAAATCACCCCAACTAAACCGGTATCGGCACGCCTTTCCATCGTTTGCAACATATACTACGCGCGCGTTCTCGCAAGCGCGCGTCGTCGCGCGCATGTCGAAGTCCTGTGAAATCTTTCGGCTTCGTACGGGTTTCAAAATCGACGGTCCAAAAACATTGAAAACACAATTGGTTTCGCAACGCGGTTTTTCAAACAAAAAATTAAACCCGCGCCTTTGCGAATTCATGTGGGAACCCCACATTTTGTTTACCCCAAAAACATGTTCATAACATGTTACCAGACGGATTTACGCGCGGGCGTGCCAATAGTGTTCGGACGCCCTTGCGCGCTTGCTGGTGCGAGAACCATTTGCAACAAACCGAACGAAGTGCACGAACGCGCATCGTCGCGCGGGCATACCGAGATCATTACAAACCCATGGGTTTCGTAAAGATGTCAAAACCGAAAGTCCCGAATATGACTTCGCAGCAAGCGGTTTCAAAAAACCTGCATCCGCGCCTATGCGATGTTTTTCCTCTTTTTTAAAACAAAAAAACGGCCCTGGGTATGTTTGAACATGATCAAATACTTCTGCCAAACAAGTCTCTCGCGCTGCAAGCCAGAATCTTTCGAACGCGCTTGCGCGCATGCTGGGGGGGGGGGGCGCGATCCGTGTCAAAGGATGCCATGCGGGCCACGCTCGCGCGTCGGCCGCAGCATCGGCGCCGTCAGTGGCCGTGCAATCGCCGTTGTCAACATCGCCACCACCATCTCTGCTGTCATCACCGTGTGTACCGTTGTCGACAGACGTTGCCATGATACCGAAACCGCCAAAGACGCGGACTCGCACTGAAGTGCCCAGTGGGACGTGCCCAGCAGTCAGAGCCACCGCGGCCGCGTCGGCCGCGCCAAACTAGCTGGCCGCTGCGCGCGTTTGCATGCGCGGGCTGGCGCGGCCGCAGGGATGCAGCAGCCGACACCGAACACTCACCGCAATCACCCCCGCATGGGTTAGGCAAGCCAATTTGCGGGTGGGTGAGCGGAATGATTGCGCGAGCAGTGGAGTTGACAACTTCAAGTAGAGCATTGGTGAATAGGACCACGTAAATGTTGGCACCCACTTTCTGCCACATAGATGGTAGCACATCAACTGTGCTGCGAAGTGAACCGCGTAGTCTCAAAAGCATGTGTCGCGCGGCATGTATTGGACCTCGTATATTGCCGCACGTTTATGATACCACTTAGACAGCGCAATGTATCTATATATACACATATATGGGGCACCATATGCACTGCACCACGTATGTTACCCTCCCCAAGAAAGAATTAAGATCTACCTCCCCCTCCTCCCCTGTACTTACCGTTCGCCTTTTCGTACGGCAATTTGCATATGAGCCTGCCCCATCGCCCACCCGACATATGAACTCATACCATCCCAGCCCAGCCAGTATGGACCACCCCTGGCCATCCTGTCCAACCACTTCTATGCGTTCGCTCTCGCTTAACAAAACTATCAGTTTTCAACAATCCCTTGCCCCCCCCATAAAAAATATGCGCGCGCATGCCGAAACACTAAAAACGTTCGGCCTGCAAGTTCTTCGAAATCGAACGTCACGAACACATAACGAGGGCGAGGACGAGGAGGATAACAATAACAACGACGACGGACGACGACAGCGACGACGACGCACTGCGGATGCCCTATGGGGTGGGGGGGTGCTGGGTGCTGCTTTAGCCCGCTGCAGTCGACGACGACGACGACGACAACGACGACAACGACGACGACAACACGAAGACGACGACGACGACACGAAGACGACGACGGCAACAACACGACGACGATGGCAGCGACGGCGACGCCCTGCGGATGCCCCATGGAGTGGGAGGTGTTTGGTAGGCCCAGCTCGCTGTAGTCGACGACGACGACTGTGGCACGTCAGTAGTAATCAGCTTGAGAGGGGGAACGACTTTCGCCTTGGATGCATACGATCCCTATACCAAAATTTGTACGAAGAGCAGGGGGTACAAGATCCCCTCGACGGCGCCCGAGCGACGACCCCCTGGCGCACGCGATTAAGAAAATGCTTCGCGCGCCGATGGGTCTATTCATCAGCCCCGGGAGGGGGGCCTCATGTGTTAATCGCAAGCTGACATCACTGACTAGGATGACCATCCTCCACCCAGCCCCGCCGCCTCCCTCATCATTGGTTTGTGCGCACACTCTCGTTGGCTTGTGCACCCTCCTCTTCCTCCTTTTCCTCCAATGCTTACCTCCCCCTCTTCGTCGTTTCCTTCCCCCTCCGCCGTCTCTCCTCCCCCGCCTCCCCTCCTCCGCGACACCCTCATCAGCATTTCCATCCTCGTCGTCGTCGTGCTCCACACAGCCAACACCACCGCCGTCATCCTCCCCCCGTTCTCCTCCTCATCCTCATCAGCATCGCCATTGTCATCAGCATCACCAGCATCCTCTCCATCATCCCTCACTGATCCTCTTTGTGTCTCTCCACCTTCCCATTCACCTTCCTGCAAGGCCGCGGCGCGGGTCTGCCGCGCCCGCGCTGGCGCTCGCACTGTCCTTCTCCAGGATGGCTGAGGACATGTGGGCGCCGAGAAGGACCCGGCGCACCCCCCCCTCGTTGCCCCCCCTCCTCCTCGCTGCCCCCACCACCGCCTGGGCTTCTCCGCGCCGCACTTTCGGCAGCTCTCGTTCTTGGCGAACTGGTGGTCGCCGCACGCGGCGCATGTCCAGTCCCCCGGTTTGAACCCGTCCTGCGGAGATCCCCCCCAGCCAACCCACGGGGCAGCTGCCACGGGCTCCAGCAAAGCAGGATGCGGTGGGAGGAAAGAAAGCACGAGAATGCGGAACAAACGAGCACACGAGCATGCGCAGAACACACACACAACGATGCGGCAAAAACGTACACACAAACACACAAACCCACAACACACACACACACACACGGAGCGTCGTGTCTATTGTTGTTCCGCCTCGCGGTGTAATTTTTCCGCATCCCGAAGGTTAGATCGGACGAACGGGGAGTAGCCAATAGGGGGGGGGGATGCGAATCAGCTGAGGCAGACGGAGCCGAAACCAGCTGCGCGCAGCAGATGTTGTAACCCTCCCCCTCCATTCCCCCCCGCTTTCCTCCGACTGGAGAAGGGGAGGAAGGGGGGGGAACATTGAAGGCGAACGCGCGGTAACGGGGAGCAGGGGAGAAACGAGGAAGAGGAGGGAGGAAGAGAGGAAGAGAAGGGAAGAGGGGGCCAGGGGGAGGGAGAGAGGAAGAGACGACAGAGGGAAGGAGGGAAACAACTCGCAACAAGACCACCCTTCACTTCACTGCTGCATGCCCTGGCCCTCCCACCCGCCCTGCTGCTCCTTGCAAACGGCTGCCAAGATCAGAGCCGGCGCGCCAGTGCCAGCACAAGCCCCGGCCACGAGCGAGCGCAATGGCAACGGATGCCGCCACCGTGAAGCTGGCGGGTCCAGAGGGAAACGGGTCCAGAACTTTGTCGCGGCTGTCTGGTTCCGAGAGCCATCCCTGACTCTGGGAAAGCCGACAAACATTACTCATGACTTCGGATGACGTGGAACGTCAGGGGGGAAGGCCCTGGAGTCATGGACTCGCTTCCTTCGGGAACCGCGCCCATCATGCCGAAGACACAAGGCAGAACGCGCTGCGTGCTGTCTTCCTGATATCCTGGGGCCCCGTGGGTCAATGAGTGCGCATGCTTTTACCAGCCGAGAGAAACCCTGTGGCAAGAGAAAGAAACAACGACGACGACGACAACGACGACGACGAATAAGCGACGACACGCCAGATGGCACGGGGAGTGGAGGGTGGGGGGGAGGCAGGGAGGGAAGGCGCGCACGCTCCTCCTCCTCCTCCTCCTCCTCCTCCTCCTCCTCCTCCTCCTCCTCCTCCTCCTCCTCCTCCTCATGCTCCCGCTGCTCGTCGTCCCCTCCCCCAGGGGCGGCACGCGGCGAGCGGTCCCTCGCGCTCAGGCCCATGCCCCCCGCGGGCGGGGCGGCGCCCCGGCCGCCGTAGGGGCCGCAGCCGCCCAGGGGGCGGCCGGCCCCGGCCGGGCCGTAGGCGCCACCTGCGCAGGGTCCGGGGGGGAATGCTGCAGGCGTCCCCGGCCTGCACGGTTTCCCCTGGGGCCGTAGGCGGCCCGAGGATGCAGCAGGAGGAGGAGGAGGAGGAGGAGGAGGAGGAGGAGGAGGAAGAGGAGGAGGAGGAGGAAGGGGAGGGGAGGGGAGGGCCCCAAGATTCCCCAAGAGGGATTTTGGAAGCTCTAGAGGGACAGCGCTTATCAAGGAAGCCCTCTTGTTTGATCAATGTCCTCCAAGGTGGCCCCAGCAGCGTGTCCAAGGCTCCCAAGGGCGCCCCAAGGGGACCCCAAGAGGCGCCCAGACGGCCCCAAGAGGCGCCCAAGAGGCCTCCGAGAGGCTCTCAAGATGCCCCCAAATGGCCTCAAGAGGATCCCTGAGGCACCCAAGATGCCCCCCAGACGTTCCAAGAGCCCCCGCCCCCCCCAAAAAGAAACATCCGAGGAGGCTCGACTGATCGTCGTGATTTCCTCCTCCCCCTCCTCCTCCTCCTCCTCCTCCTCCTCCTCCTCCTCCCTCCTCCTTCCTCCTCCTCCTCCTCCTCCTTCCTCCTCCCTCCTCCTCCCCTCCTCCTCCCCTCCTCCTCCTCCTCGCCTCCCTCTCTTTTTCCTCCTTCCTCCTCCTCCTTATCCTCCTCCTTCTCCTCCTCCTCCTCCTCCTCCTCCTCCTCCTCCTCCTCCTCCTCCTCCTCCTCCTCCTCCTCCTCCCTCCTTTCCTCTTTCTTCGTCTCTATTCCCCGCCTCCTCCTCCTCCTCCTCCTCCTCCTCCTCCTCCTCCTCCTCCTCCTCCTCCTCCGATCCTCATCCATATCCTCCTTCTCCCCACCTCCGTAATCTATCCATCCAGCCTCCTCCTTATCCTCGTCCCTCCTTCGCACGGTTCGGCCGTCCCCCTGTGTGCCCCCATTCTTTTCTGATCACCTCAACTCGCCTGGACATCGTTTTTTGGATGGGCTGGTGGGGGTATTTTTAGTCAGCGGCCGCAGGCGAGAGCGCCAGCGGTGAGTCCAGTCAGAGCGGGCCGCGCAAAAACGACTTGACCTAAAACGGTGGGCCGGAGCATCACGCAACACCTCGGCGGGCAGCCCGGCGAGTGGATGGGGGGCTGGCTGCAGCTGCTGGCTGGTGGGGATACTTTTTGGTCAGCGGCCGCGGGCGAGCGCGCCGGCGGCGAGTCAGGTCAAGCGGGCTACGCAGCGACGAACTAAGCGAAGGCAGCGAGGGCAGGCCACGTCTAACGCAGCTAGCCGAGGCCTCACGCGGCGGCCCAGCGGCGGGCGGGTGGCAGGGGTGACTGAAACTGAGTCGAACTGCCAGCGTGCAAATACGCAGGGAGTCGGAAGCACCAGGAAGTCGGGATAAACGACGACCAGGGTCGGAAGCCGTAGAATTAAAGCATGAGCCCGAACCCCGGACAACTGCGTGGGCACCAAGGGTGGCCGCAGCCAAAGAACCGTCGGTCAAATTGAGAATTGCAAAGGCGAAGCCCCGGACAACGGCGTGAGCGCGAGTACCAGGCTGGCCCGAAAGACCGCCGGCCAAAGAATTAACGCCAGGAGGCGAACGCGCTGGCAGGCTGCATTTCCCAGGGTGGCCGCGGCCGAGAGACCCCGAGGCAGCAGAACGCGCGAGTGCGGGAAGCGGCGGAGCCGCGACGCAGCCAAAATGGCGCGGGTCACCACGAACCAGTGCGCGAAGTGGCGTCAGGTTGACCCAACACGGGCCCGGTACCGGGCCACGAGCACAGGGCTGACACACCAATTGACGACGGGCGGAAGGCACCACGGGAAAGACCCAGGCGGGTGCCAGCCGCACGTGCCAGGAGCGCAGTGGACAGAGCGATGCCAGGACGGCCGCCAGCCCCGAAGAGGAGAAGAACCGCGATGTGAGCGGCAAGGCCGAAGGCCGGAGCGGTGGAAGGACATCGCCACCGCCCGACGAAGAAGCCAGAAAAGAACCGCGAGTTGCGCGGCATGGCAGAAGCCGGCGCGGTGGGAAGGACGCCACCAACCGGCGAGGAGGCCAAAGCCAAGCGCAGCGGGGGGGGGGGGCGCCCCGACTCGGCGGGCCGCCCTGCGGCGCTAGAAAAGGCGCCCCAGGGGTAAGAACAGCTACAGCGGGCCGAAGGCCGGTATTGGACAGGTGGACCACGGCCCCAGCAGTAGCCCACGAGTCAGCGTTGCCAGCGGCGTCCCGCAGCTCAAGTTCCCAAGGACGGGGAGCGGTGGGGGCTGGGCAGGAAAGGCACCAGGGAAGCAGCTCTGCCCGCGGGTCGACCAGCGGCCACCGCGGGAACGAAGCGAGCACGCCAGGGGTGAAACGAAGGGGGGGCGGGCGGCCCACGGCCCCGTCGTGGCCCACAAGTCAGCAAGGTCAGCAGACCCGAGGTCCCTGCCCGGAGGGTCTGAACGACGGGGGCTGGGCAGGGAGTGGCCCCAGGGAAGGGGCGCTGCCTGCAAGCTGGGCGTCAGCCGCAGCGGACGCTGCGCGCGCCGTGCCCAGGGCGATGCAAGCGAGGGCCGGTGTCGGAAGTCCTCGCCAAGCCCCAATCAGACACAGGTCGGAGGTCAAGCCAGGGAGGGCGAGAGACCACGGCGAGATGCGTGAGTGAGGCACCAAACCTATTGGCCTAACGTGCCAATTATAACAGACAGCGATAATGGCGAACCACGTTCCGGCATGGCCTAACGGGCCCTATTTTAACTGGAGAATCGGGGGCGCAGCCCCGGCGAGCCTCTCGGGCCTGAGGTCAGCGCATCTGCAGAGGAAGGTGGCGGTCAGCTGCCCACTGGGGCGCCAGGTCGGCGCCGGGTCGGGCGTGTCGGGGCAAGCGAGGACTGGCGTCGGAGGTCCTCGCCGAGCCCCCAACATACACAGGTCGGAGGCCGAGCCAGGGAGGGCGAGAGACCGCGGCGAGCTGCGGGGAAGAGGCACCGAAATCATTGGCCAAACAGGCCCCGTTTTACAGACAGCGATAATAGCGAACCGCGTTCCTTCATTGCCTAACGGCCTAACGGGCCCTATTTTAACTGGAGAATCGGGGGCGCAGCCCCAGTGAGTCGTCCATCGGGCCAGAGGTCAGCACATCTGAGGAGGAAAGTGGAGGTCGGCTGTCCACTGGGGCGCTAGGTCGGCGTCTGGTCGGACGTGGCGGGGCAGGCGCGGTTGGGTACCCGGGGGCGAAGTCAACGCAGAGCCGTAGACGCGCGCGTGGTCGGAATGGGGCGCGCTGGGACACAGCGGGAGGATGGGGCCCTATAGCCATGTGCGGGAGCGCTTGTCCCCCCTCCCGTCGCTGCTATCGTCGCCGCCACGCTTGCCTGCTGCCTGCCAGTCGTCGGCGTCCCAGCCCTGCCCCCATGACCATGAAGCCCAGACCCCGGGTTGCCGGGAGCTTGTGGCGTATCCCGTGTACTGCGGAGCGCTGGTACCCTGGTGTCCTGACCACTTGTCGTGCTCCCGGTCCCAATTGCCTTGTAGCTCGTGCTTGCGATCCATCTCGTATGCGTGGTACCCGCAGTGCTTCCAAGCATCGAGGAAAGCGCGGCACGTGCTCTCGGGATGCAGGGCGGGGTCACTCTTTGGGCCGTTGGCAGCGTGGTGCCTCCGGGTATAGACGTGCCCAATGCTGCTGAATACTCCACCGAAGGTCTTTTGAAGACGAGAGATCTTGGCTGCGGGTGCCTCCGCGAACTTGTCGAGATCGACGTTGGCCAGCCGTTCCTTGCACATGGGACCCCCTCCGACGGGGTCGAGGAAGCCATCAAACGCCCGCTTGGGGCCCATTCGCGGGGGTTAGCGAGTGGCGGTTTTGAGCTGGCGGGAAGGGGAACGGCCTGGGGGTCTGGGGCGGGCGTACCCGAGCTGCCTGTCTGAGAGTAACGGTCGTGCCACTCCGAGGGGAGGGCGGGCGGCTGTCGGACGCTGCCGCTGGGGCGCTGTTGTCCGCCGGTTTGTAAGCTGGTGAGGGATGCCGCTGCGGGAGGTCGTGTGTCGCCATGGGCGGTGGGCTGGCGCTGGCCATCCCTCTCGGCTGGCGTCGCTCTGGCGGTCGCTCGCTGAGGCGTCTGGCGTCGCTGAACGCCCCTGGCGGGCCATAGGGAGGGCTACTTCCAGCTTCTCCATCGGCTGTTCCGGGAAAAGAAGGCGGTGGGGAGCCCTCAGGGCCGATCGCGCCGTCTGGCGTACCACCAGGGGGAGGTGTGGGAGATGGGGGGGCGGCTTCACCTTTTCCTCATCGTAGTCAATCCCTTCAACATACGCCTTGACGGTGGGTGCTGGGCTCGTCGGGGAGCAAGCCTCTTCTCCAGGGGGGAAGGGGCCCGTCGCTTCGGGGCCTGTCACCAGGGGGATGTGGTCTGCCCAGGGCGCTGACAGCCAGCCGTCACTGCTGGCTGGGCCGGGCGTGGGGGCAGCAGTCGCTGGGGGAACGTCGCGCGCCGATCCCGCAGTGCGCCCAGGTTCCGCCTGCAGCCAGGCAAGCGTGGAATCCCCGGGCAGGGCGTTGGCATCGCAAGCGTACGGGGCCGTGGGATCCTGCCCCGCCAAGGTAGTGATGGAGGTGGTAACGAGAGTGCTGGAGTCCAGGTTGGCGATGAAACCCGCGAGGACGGTGAGGTCGTGACGGAAGGGGTTTTGCCCCCTGGCGTAAGCGGCACTCCGGAGGAAAGTCGCCCACGAGTGTTGAAACGTGGGACTATGTAGCAGATGCCCGACTACCCTGGTCGCGGCCCACCTCTTGCCTTCCAAGGTGGCTCCAGCGGGGAGTCCGCTGTCGGACTGGTGGGGGTACTTGATGGTCGCGGCCGCGAGCGAAGAACGCAGGCGGCCACAGAAACTGGTGGGGATATTTTTTTGATGGGCGGCTTCAAGGAAAGGTCCAGGAAGCGGGACGGTCTCGGCTGGGGCGCAGGGCGAGATAATTAGCAACGACGGCACATAGGCCGACGCAGCACGTGCACGCGGCAGGGACAAAATGCCCCCCATTAGGATGCAGGTGGCCCGGAAGCAGGGACGCGGGCATCAGAGGAAAACAGACGGAGGAGGAGTCGCACAGTGGCGCCAGCTCAGTCCGTACCGACCAGCGCGTATCGGCGTGGGTCACGCCGCGCTGAGGCAGCATGAGGCACGCCCAATGGTGGGGATACGCGAAGCGTGTAGAATTTGTTGCTCTTCGAATTCATCCTGAGCTGTGCTTGTGCTGACCATCCTGGGGCTGGGGAGGTGCTCCAGAGCCCGAACGCACGGCGACACAACAACCGAGGCCCGCGCACCCCCACCGGCCCCCCTCCCAGGACCCCCTTGCCCCACGGCGGGTCTGCGGGGGCGGTGGGGAGGAGGAGGAGGAGGAGGAGGAGGAGGAGGAGGAGGAGGAGGAGGAGGAGGAGGAGGAGGAGGAGGAGGAGGAGGAGGGGGAGGAGGGAAAGGAGAACCGACCTCCGTTCCGCGGGCGACAAGGGCGGCGCTTTCCTGCTCCCGCCCACCGAGAAGAGCCACCTTCTACCAGATGAACACTTCATGGTGGCCGTGCGCCTGCGGCTGCAGCTTCCGCACCCGGGAACACTGGGCGCTCGCCCACCCGCTAGCACTTGCGGGCACCGCTCTTCGCAGTTGGGGCACAGGTGCAATTGCGCCGTGGACGGCCGGGGACACCACGCTCTGACGTGCGAAGTCGATGGCGGAGTTGTCCGGAGACATGACAGCATCCGTGTTTGGTTGGCTGCCTGGATCGCCGGCGTCACGGGCGCCCCAGTGCTCACCGAGCAGTTCGTGCCGAAGTGGAACCGAGTGTGGTGGAGGTGGACGGGGAGGAGCAGACTGAGCGCGCGCGCTTGGACGTTGTTTTTAATGACCAAAACGCCCAACGTGCATACGTCGACGTCTGTGTCCCCGCTGCTTCTTCCACCTGCCCCGAGCTCCTCCGTGCGCGAGCAGCGCGGGATGGCGCGGCAGCCGCGCGGGCCGAGGACGGCAAGCGCCTCCGGTACCCAGGGCCAGACCTCGTGCCGTTTGCCATCGAGGCTTTGGGCCGACCGGGGGACGACGCCGTGGCCCTTCTCCGCGCGTGCGGGCCGGAGGACCCAGTCGAGCGGTCTCGGGTCCTGGGCTCGGCCTGGCAGTCGCTCTCTGCGCTGCTGCAGACGCGCAACGCGGAGCTGTTATTGGCAGCAGGATCGGCTTGATTGTTTTCGCCGTATCCATGTTGGCTCTGTGTTTGATTCCGTAGCCGTGATGGCTTACTCTCCTCCCCCTCCCCCTCCTCCTCCTCCTCCGCCGCGTCCTGCGCCCGCTCGTCTTCCTCCCTCCTCTCCGCTCTCCCTTCGCCGGGGCCCCGCCTGACTGCAGTGCCACCGCGCCTTTTTCTGTTCCCCCTCCCCCTCCCTTCCCCTCTTCTCCCCCGCTCCTTGCCTCCGGCGGGCGTGCGAACGCCTAAGGGGGGGGCCTGGTGGCTCACACCTCCCCGCCGCGCGTCCGTCTCCTCCGTCTTCCGGTTCCCTCCTGCCCCCTCCTCCTTCCTCCCTCCCCCGGGCAGTTTTTTTTTCGGGGTGTGTCCTGTCGCCGGCGCCCAGGCGGGCTGTCGCCCCCCGCCCGGGCGCCGAAGAATTACCCTGCGACGTACCCAACCCACGTGCATCAAATGGCAAGAGGAGTATGCCAACATTAGCAGGAACAGCGACAGTGTAGACGCAGCGATTTGCTGTGCGAGCTACATGGGATGCGCATGCGTTGCAAGATTCACAGGACGACGATCGAAAGAACGAGGATTGAGGCCCCAGGATCGAAGAAGAACGGGTACGGGAACGAGGGGTAGGAGAGGGATGGAATGGACGGCGGGGGGGGCGAAAGGCCATCGCGGAAGCAGCAACATGCATGGAGAAGGTGAGGCGGGGAATAGGACGACGATGAAAGTGGCGGGAGGAGACAGAAGACTGTCGCGTTTTTCAAGCGCGAGCTAAACCCGCAGCGCTGCCTGCGCCATGTCGTCGCAGAGTTCCACATGATAAAACTTGTTTAGAGTGCAAGGAACGAGCGAGGCGTAGCTCGCCCGCTAGCTTCTCCGCCTCCTTCCCGCACATATCAGCGCGGGAGCTGAACGCTCGCAGGCGCGCCGCCAGGTCTGCGGGCGGCCCGCGGGAAAGAAACTCAAGGCCGGGGTCGCGTATCATCAATCGGTTGTCCATCGTCCAGAGCTGCACTGGCGACATACTGGTTGAAAGGGACGGCGAGGTCTAATCTGAATCTGGGTGGTGCGTCACTCCGCGGGACTGACCAGCAGCCTTCGAAAGTGGTGACAGTTTCACAGATCGCAGCCCCCCCCCAGGGATGGTGAGGTCTAATCTGAATCTGCGTGGTGCCTCACTTCGCTGGACCCACCAGCAGCCCTCGAAAGTGGTGACCGTTTCGCAGATCGCAGACCCCCAGGGATGGCGAGGTCTAATCTGAATCTGCGTGGTGCCTCACTCCGCTGGACCCACCAGCAGCCCTCGAATGTGGCGACAGTTTCGCAGATCGCAGCCCCCCAGGGATGGCGAGGTCTAATCTGAATCTGCGTGGTGCCTCACCCCGCTGGACCCACCAGCAGCCCTCGAATGTGGCGACAGTTTCGCAACCAGCAGCCCTCGAATGTGGCGTCAGTGTCGCAGATCGCAGCCCCCCAGGGATGGCGAGGTCTAATCTGAATCTGCGTGGTGCCTCACTCCGCTGGACCCACCCTCAGCCCTCGAATGTGGCGACAGTTTCGCAGATCGCAGCCCCCCAAGGATGGCGAGGTCTAATCTGAATCTGCGTGGTGCCTCACTCCGCTGGACCCACCAGCAGCCCTCGAATGTGGCGTCAGTGTCGCAGATCGCAGCCCCCCAGGGATGGCGAGGTCTAATCTGAATCTGCGTGGTGCCTCACTCCGCTGGACCCACCAGCAGCCCTCGAAAGTGACGACAGTTTCGCAGATCGCAGCCCCCCAGGGACGGCGAAGTCTAATCTGAATCTGAATGGTGCCTCACTCCGCTGGACCCACCAGCAGCCCTCGAAAGTGACGACAATTTCGCAGATCGCAGACCTCCAGGGATGGCGAGGTCTAATCTGAATCTGCGTGGTGCCTCACTCCGCTGGACCCACCAGCAGCCCTCGAAAGTGACGACAATTTCGCAGATCGCAAACCCCCAGGGATGGCGAGGTCTAATCTGAATCTGCGTGGTGCCTCACTCCGCTGGACCCACCAGCAGCCCTCGAAAGTCGAGGTCTAATCTGAATCTGCGTGGTGCCTCACTCCGCTGGACCCACCAGCAGCCCTCGAAAGTGACGACAGTTTCGCAGATCGCAGCCCCCCAGGGATGGCGAGGTCTAATCTGAATCTGCGTGGTGCCTCACTCCGCTGGACCCACCAGCAGCCCTCGAAAGTGGTGACAGTTTCGCAGATCGCAAACCCCCAGGGATGGCGAGGTCTAATCTGAATCTGCGTGGTGCCTCACTCCGCTGGACCCACCAGCAGCCCTCGAAAGTGGCGACAGTTTCACAGATCGCAGCCACAAAGGGATGACGTAAAAGGCAAGAGAGAAGAGGAGGAGCGAAGAGAGGAGGAGAAGGGAAGCAAGAGAGGAGGAGCGAAGAGAGGAGAAGGGATGCAAGAGAGAAGAGGAGGAGCGAAGAGAGGCGGAGAAGGGAAGCAAGAGAGGAGAGGAAGAGGGAAGAGAGGAGGAGGAGGCGGGAAGGAAGGAAGGTGGAGACCGCAGTGCTCTATTCAAAACGAGTACCCAACGCAGGAGGGTTGGGAAAAAAACCTGATGGACACACACCAGCGGGGTGAGGGCTTTTGAGTGCATTGTGGTTAATTTTCTCGGCGTGGCGCGATGCTGGCATCGGCGACAAACGGCCGATGGAGCGGCGACAGGCCCCCGATGGCGAGACCGCGTGGTCCTGGGCGGGGCAGGCGATTGGGACCCCTACCGGCCATCGATGAGCGACTGGGGGTCGACACGCCATCCCGTGCCCCTTCCCCTCACGCGGCCCCCGAATGGAGGGGGCAGGGAGGGAAAAAAGTGGCGGGGGCTGTATGGGTGCACCTCAGAGGAGAAAGAAGGAGCACCGCCACTGAGAACCCACCGGTAGGTTGCCGAACCGTGGGCGATGGCACGCCCGAGCCGAGCGTCACCCAGCACAGGACGACGCTCAAGTGAACCACCGCCCAGGAGCCGCCTCAGAGCAACGACTGCGAGTGGGGCGTCACTTATACTTGGGGAGCGATACGGTAGGTTCGTGCGGCGTCTGCGCGCGCAAGAATTTTGACACCGCCTCGATCGTTCAACTTGAACCGATCGCGTCCCCGATCGTTCAAGGTTGAATTCAGTGGGGTCCAATGGCGTTGCCGTGACCATCGGTGCTTCCGCGTCGCAGCATTCAACCTTGAACGCCTTCGTCGTCGACACCGGCGCGCCAGCGCCGTGCGAACCTACCCTGAGTGGGAGGGGAGACAGGTGCACCTCTCGGGCCCTTCGGGCCCCCCTTAGTGGCCCTGAAGGGGCCTTGGAGGGCCCCTCCTCTGCGTCCCGCGCTGCCCCCCACCCATCGCCCCCACTGTCATGAGACGCCCAAGCGAGAGTGAGAGAGGCGGGCCCGGGGCGGGGCGCGAGGCGCCTCCTCCACAGCCCCACGCGCCGCCCCCGCCGCCGTAGGGGCCACCGCCCCCCCCGCCGTACGGGCTTCCGCCGCCGCCGTAGTGGCCGCCGCCGCCGCCGTAGGGGCCGCCACCGCCGCCGCCGTAGGGGCCTCCGCCGCCGCCGCCGTAGGGGCTGCCGCCGCCGCCGCCGTGCGCGCCCTTGCCGCCACCGCCGAAGCTGGCCGGGGCCTTGCCACCACCTAGGGCGCGGCGGCAGGAATGGGCAGCCCTCACTCGTCTCCGCTCCTCTCCTTCCTTTTCCACGTCCTCCCCCTCCCCCTCCCCCATCCGCCTCCTCCCCCTCCTCCTCCTTCACCATCCTCCTCCTGCCCCCCCTCCTCCTCCGCCTCCTCTTCCTTCTCCTCCTTCTCCTCCTCCCTGTCCTCCTCCTCCTCCGCCTCCTTTTCCTCCTCCTCCTCCTCCTCCTCCTCCTCCTCCTCCGCCTCCCCCGTCCGCCTCCTCTCCCTCCCCTGCCTCGTCCTCGCTGTCGCCCTTGTCCTAGCCTCGCCCTCGCCGTCCTCATCCCCTGGCATCGTTCCCTTCGTTGCCCAGGCACGGGAGGAGGTCCTCGCGCCCCCGTCCTCCATCTCGAAGCAGGGCAGGATTGCGCACGGGGGCTTGGAGCCGCAGTGTGGCGGGGGCTACAGCTGCACAGGGTTTCGAACCGATTGGCCGCGTCCGCCTCTGGCGCGGCGGCGGCCTTTCAGGACTTCCGACCGAAAAAGGGCCGCTGCCTCTTGAAACTACCCCAACGTAGGCACACGTGCCCCCACAACTGGCGACCCTATAATAGAGGGCACAACAAAAATCCACCCCGATAATAACCACCCCGACAAGCGAAGCCGTTTAGCAAACGCGCCCAAAGAAGGAATCGAGCAGGGCAGGGCCGTTTAGTTAACGCCAGTTGTCCGGTCTGGGTGTTTTTTCCTCCCTTGAGACCCTCTTGCCCACACCCCCATCATCCAAGCCTGATCCCCCCGCTCCTCATCCAGAGCCAGAGGACGGAAATGCATGCTCAAGGGAGGGTGGAGCGGAAGAGCAGGAGGCTGCTGTGAAACAGAGAAGGGGTGGAGGGCAGAATATGAAGACGAGGGACGACAATTGCAAGGGGCCTCTCCAAACTGTTCGGGTCCTTGTCCACAAATCATCTAGTTCCTTGGGAACTATTCCACAGTACCCGCAAATGTGTTCAGGCAGGGCACAAACTTTGTGGAAGTGTGAAGCGAAGGCGTGAAACCTTCGAAAATCAGCAGGAATGTACCGAACAAAACCGCGACCCCTGGCGTAAAATGTGTGGGTGCCTTCAGCTGGAGTCGTTCATGCTGCAGTCCCCTGGGGCCCAAAAACAAAGCTCAGCTCGAGCCCGAATGCTTCCTTGGGACAAACAGCAAGGGGGTAGAGCCGAGGACTGCACGCACCAGACAGGGGGGGGATCAGCAACAATATGATTCGGATTCGACCAGACCACAAGCAAGAGCACGATGACTCCAACCTCGAGCGCCGCATATCACCACAGCGAGGGTACGACACAGCGTGTGGAGGGGAGAACAAGGCAGCATTAAGGTCGAGCGGGTCCGCCATGAACAAGCTTCGAACAAAAAACGCGCAACGACGCGGCTGGTGAGACAACAACCAGGCGAGTCATATGAAGGAAGGGGTGAAGACCACAGGGCAAGCGACAGACAAACAGTTACACCGTCAGAAACACCGCTCCCACGCTTTCTCCCGCTGCCTGAACAGCACGACTGACGAGACACACGCACACAAAAGCAAGAAGTCGACTTGTCGCCGAATACCCACGGGCTTCCATCTTGCTGGCGATAACGACCTAACGTGGCCATTCGGGGTATTTCGTGTTCGTCGTTCGTGAAGCCAGGGCAAAAAACCTAAAGTGAGCATGTTGCTGCCCAGACGAAGGTTGATGTGGCAGTCGTTTCTTCCATCGTGGCAAGATAGTATAAGGTATGGAGATGAAGCTGGAGCATGCCTATCGCTGCTCACCCTTAGTGCCTCTCAGGTGAGGTTTCTGAATTGGCGCACCCATGCCGAGCCCGTAGAGGACGAAGCAAACCGCCCATGCTTGCTGCGATAAACCCCCTAAATTGGGAAGTCCCCTCATGCAGTCTGAGGAACCAAGGAGCATCAAGCCGGGGACGCCTCGTACGGAGTGAGCGGGTGGATGATGAAGAGTGAATGTGAGTGTAAGGAGCATGGCCTCTGCAAGGAGTGGCGAAAGCATTTTATCGTCGCGGCACTGCAAAGGCAATCTGCACTAGCGCTCGACTTCTGGGAGGCGCCCGACAAACTGAATGACTTGGCAGCATGGGGGGGGGGGGGGGGCGCGCGAGGAGGAGAAGCCGCCGCGGAGGACAAGAGGGAGGGCCAGGGCACTCACAGCTGAGAGCATAAAAGTGGCGACACAAGCGTGGCAAAGAAGATCCCACCCATGATGACGACGATGCTCGCCACGACCCTGGCCTTCCCTCGGCCAACTCCACCTCTGCGAGCAGCGGCTGAGTCCTAGCCGAGGCCACCAGGGCCAGCTCGCGCAAGCGCCTCGATCACAACAAGTTTAGGTGTGCAAAGTCAGAGCCAAAATTTGATAATTGTTGTGTGCGTGTGTGTGTGTGGTTGTAATGTTTTTTTTTTTGTGTTTTTATGTTCCACCTGGTGCTTCTTTTGTGTTTTGTTGTGTTTTTGTGTGGAGGAATCTGCCGCGGTCGATCGCCCGGGGGGGTTCGACTGCCGCCCCGGCGCGGATCGCTCCCGCCAAAGTTCCCTCGAAGGGGGAGCTCAGGCGGGTTTTTTTCCCGTAGGCGCGCCCGCTTTCGCCTGGGAGGGCGCGGGGGGTCCTGGATCGTCCGGGGGGGTCCAGGACGGGCCGACTCGCCCGGGAGGGGGGGTAGGTCCGAGCGATGGAATCGCCCGGGGGGGTCTCAGCGGCTCAGTTCCTGCACGAGTCGCCCGGGGTGGTCTCGCGCGGGAACAGCCCTCGCGAATCGCCCAGGGGGGTTCCACGGGGGCGAGGTAGCTGGGGGGGCGCCTTAGAGGACAGTGCACGGCGCGAAAGATTCACGCAAATCTTTCGCGGGACTCTCGCGACTTTTTCGAGGAAGGCGTAACGGTCTGGACAGTCGCGCAGGGGGGGGGGGGGCGAAGAAGAGAGGAGGGGAGGTCCGATGCCAAAGCCTCGAGGGTCACCTCCGGGGCCAAGCGAATGACGGACAATTGGAGCAGTGAGCGGCTAAGGATAGAAGGGGGGCGAAGGATAAGAGCCGGAAGGAAGCGCGAGCGGCGCACCGAGGAGCAGAAGCGGAGAGAAAGGGAGTTCTCTGGTTGATCATGCCAAGAAGAAGGCGAGGTTGATGACTAAATTAAGGCTTTGACTTTGCACACACGAACATGTGTGCCCGGGGCGTCCTCTAACGGGGAACGAAGAAAACGAAGTCGCGCCCTGACGGCGCATTGGCAAACACATCGAAAAATACCGATCCCATGCGTGTCGGCATGCAGAGGAAAACGGAAAGTTGCACAATGCCTCGGGGGACCGTCGTTGTAGCCTTTGTCTCCAACGAGGTGCGAAGGGTAACTGCGAATTTTGTGCAATGGAGGGGGGGCGGGCGAGGAGGGAGGACGGGGAGTGGTGGGGCACTCATAGGGGGGAAATGAACGAGGGGTGAAGGCAGGAGCACCTTTCGGCAACCTTCCTGGCCCGTGGTGGCAGTCTAGGGGCCACTGAAGGCACCGCAAGGACCACCTCTCTGCGGTCCTCGAGCCCGCATGTTTTGGAGTCCCGAACCGGTGCGGTGACAGACCCTGCGGTGACCTCGAAATCCCCCAAGACCTCACGGCACGGTCAGTCAACCCACGGTTTTGGGACCTCGGATGCCCCAGTCGCCCGAGACGTCCTCGGAGAACGACCCGAGTCCCAAAACCGTGCGGTGACCCCGGATCCCCACCGACTCACCACACGGTGTGGTCACCACCCCGTTTGGGAGCCCCCGACATGTGGATCCCCCCCGTTGCCGTCCGCCCGAGGTGCCGGAGTTGGGCCGGCGGCCGGGCTGCAGAATTCGAGTTCTGGGGCTCGGTGGCAGAGCCCCCGCCGATTCCGGTGGGCGGCCGGGTTCCAGGGCGCCCAAGTGTAGAGACGTAGAGGAAGTAGAGGCACAGAGAGGGTCTGAAGACGGATAGCTGTATAGAGATACGTAGACGAAAGGGGATAGAGAACCCAGGGAGACCATATAGCGGACACGATACCGTACGCAGCGAGGGAAATAAAGAACGGAACAGAGCGCACGGCAGCCAACGTAGAAGTGGACTAAGAGACTAAGGTCCCCCTTGACTCGGACTCGCACATACAGTAGCAGCTCGGCCACAAGAGACCCTCCACAAGAAACCCAACCCTGAGACCCCAGGATGTCCCTTGATTTTTGGTACGGGGACGTGACGTTGTCCATCGTAGAACTATCGAAACCCAAGAAACCCAGGGCACCATGGAGGCAAGCAAGGTGTTTCGTGGCATGGGCTTCCACTGTACCTGCGCACCCTCCAAAGAGGGCACCCTTGCTGCTGCTGCTGCTGCTGCCGCTCATTGTCACCGACACCTGCCGCACCAGTACAGAGAACACAGACATAGAGGCAAAGGAGGCAGAGGTGCACGGTTTCCCCAGGAGACCGTAGGCGACCCTGGGAGGAGGAGGAGGAGGTGGAGGAGGGGAGGAGGAGATGGAGGAGAAGGAGGAGGAGGAGGAGGAGAAGATGGAGGAGGACGAAGAGGAGGAGGAGATGGAGGAGGACGAAGAGAAGGAGGAGGAGGAGGAGGAGGAGGAGGAGAAGGAGGAGGAGGAGGAGGAGGAGGAGGAGGAGGAGGAGTTGAGGAGGAGGAGGAGGAGATGGAGGAGGGAGGAAGAGGAGAGAGGAGAGTTGAGGGAGAAAGAGGAAGGAGGAGAGGCAGCAGGCGGAGGATGAGGGCAGGAGCTGGGCCACGCGGCCCCCTCTCGGGCCCCCCCCCGCCGGTCGCCGGCCTTTCGGGGCCGGGGTGAAGAAGGGCTTCTCCGTCCCGCAGCTGGGGAGGGGGGGGGAAGGCGCACCCCAGCCTCCCCCAATTCTTCCATCCCCCTCCCGCCTCTCCCTCCTCCCTCCTCCCCCTCCTCCCCTCTCCCTCCCTCCTCTCCCCCTCCTCCCGCCCCCCCTCCCGACGGCGACACTACTGCTGGCATCAGAATCCACAGCTGGGCGCTGCCATCCCCGCCCGAGCGGCGGTCCCCACCGGGTGGGTGGGTGAACAGAGCAAGGGAACTGCAGGACCTCCCCGTCGCTCGTCCTCCGTCCGCTACCCGTCGCTCGTGTTCGCTCGTGAACCTCCGCGTCTCCCTCCTCCTCCTCCTCCTCCTCCTCCTCCTCCTCCTCCTCCTCCTCCTCCTCCTCCTCCTCCTCCTCCCCCCCCCCCTCCTCCTCCTCCTCCTCCTCCTCCTCCTCCTCCTCTCCTCCTCCTCCTCCTCCCTCCGCCCTCCGCCCTCCTCGTTCCGGCCACTCCCGCGCCGCCTCCCTCCTCCCACCTCCTCGCTCATCCGTCCGTCTTCCTGCCTCCTCCCTCCTTCCTTCTCGTGTCGCCCGCCCCCCCTCCCTCTCCTCGCCCTCCACTCAGTCCTGCATTTCTTTCCCCTCCTACATTTTCCCTCCCTTCAGTAAGCGGGTTCGTTTGGGGGTTCCAGGTCAGCTAGAACACGCGTGGGCGGAGAGAGAACTAATCAGCGCGAAAAGATCGGTGGGAGGTGCAGGATGTCAGATATGGCGCGAGCGCGCGCACCCCGCTCGCCCTTACCCCTGCGCCGCGCCTCCACTTGTGGTCGCCCCTACGGAGCCCAATGGCGCGACAAATAGCGCCCAATAGCGCGTAGACAATGACGTAAAGCATCTCCCTAAGATGGCGCCATGTGGGAATATTGGGCGCTCTTCGGGCGATATTGGGCGCCCATGGGCGCCTCTGGGCACCTGTGGGAGGCATTGAACGCTGCTGGGCGCCAGTGGGCGCGCTGCGTGCTATTGGGCGCCATTCGCCGATGTACGCTCCATGCAAGACGAGCAGAAACTTCCGAGGTCTACGGTGGGTGCATTGGGCAAGGAACCCTCAGGCAAGGAATTCAGGGTCCTGAAGCCGGTGGAACTCCAATCGTGGATCACCCATGGATACCACCGCCGCGCTCATCAGAGAAGGACACATCCAAGGTCTGAAGCCTCCAGGCCACATTCCTTAACGAACGCCCCCACCGTACAGTAGATGCCAGTCCACAAGAAAGCTTCAACAAGAAACCCAACACTGAGACCCCAGGATGTCCATGAGACTTTAGCGTGAGAGCGTCGCGCTTTCCATAGCGAAACCAACGAAACCCAAGAACACCCAGGGCACCCTGGAGGCAAGCAGGGTGTTTCTTGGCATGGGCCTCCACTGTACTATCTGATCACCCCCCATGAGTAGAGGCCTCCTGGATGGGGCCCGAGTAGATGGGGTCGGAGGATCTCGCCGCATCGCCGATGCATCGGCGATGCGCTGGCGGTCTCGGCGATGCATCGGCGACGTCAGCGTGGAGAAAAAGTGGGCCCAACATCGAGCCGCATCGCCGATGCATCGCCGAACAGGAAGGTGCCGATGCTGACCAGGACCTCGAGGTGAGTCCAGCCGTGGCGACGAGGGAAGGCTCGAGGCATCAGGTCCCCCGCCTGATGCCTCGGAGCATTCTTGTGCTCGCAGCGATGCAGGGCAGCATGGGGGGGGGGGCGGCGGGGGGGGGAGGCATAACGCAACGCCTTTTCCCCGGCGGCCTCGGGGGAACGGCGAGAGGGAAGAGAGGACGGGAGCGTGCCAAGAGCGGCTCTCAGCAGCGAGAGCCTACTTGGGGAACTGGTGGCCCAGCCAGCGTGCCACGGTGGTGGGCTCGGCGCGCTGGCATCTGGCTTGGAGCAGCACGCGGACCACCCCGCCGTCGTAGGCCAGCCCCCCGAGTCCCCCCCCCCCTCCCCAGACACTGGACGGACCCTGGCTCCTCAGGCTGTCAGGCGGCGCGAGCGAAGCTCCCTGTGCAGCGTACCGCCGCTCCTGCTCCTCGAGGCGTGCACCCCCCCCCCTGGCCGTTGCTCGGCGCGCCGTGCCGGCTCGCCTCCGACCACGCGGCGCGCCCAGGGCACGGCCGGCGTGGGCGAAGACAGGGCGCAGCATCGATCTCCGAACACCGCGCTGTCCCTGTGAGGCGACTCCCCCCCCCCGCGCGAGGGCTCCGCTCTGCCCACGCGGTGCCTCCACGGGGGCCTCCTCGGCGCACGCGGTCCCCCTGCCGGGGCTTCCTCGGTGAACGCTCTTCCCCAGGGTGGGGATTGGCGTGGAGTGAGCGGGACGGCGGAGCCACGTCGCGCGCGATCTTTGCAGCGCCAACCGCAGGGAGAAAGGCGGTGTTCAACCTTGAACGCTCGCGCTATTGTCGCGACCCGTCCGCGTCGACACGACACGACACACCTGCCGTGCATGCAATATCGTCCACGGAAGGCCGAGGCGCAGGGTCGGGAAGGCGCGGAATGGGCCGACGCGTTTGCCACAACATAATGCAGGTCACGGCGCTGCCTACTGAGGGCGCCTACAACCGACTACGTTCTTAAACTTCTTTCGGCAAGCGCCCAGAAGATTCAGAAGGACTCCAGCCTCCTGAGCCCCGAAGCCACCGAGGGCCTCTCGAAGGCTCCACCGCCTTCGGAGAAGCCATGCGGCCTGCCCCCTGCCCCCCTGCTTCTTCCCCTCGGAGCGCCGCCGAATTTGGTTTTCGGGGCATACTTCGGGCCTCCAGAGGCCGTTCGGGACGATTCGGGCCACCTCAGGAGAGAGGACGAGAGGACGGGAGGAGTATAGGCATGGGAGGGGCCAAAGAACACCCATAATCTCAACCTCGTCCTGCTCCTCCCCCCACTCTTCAGGCAGAGAGATCCCCGGAAGTCTCCCAGACATCCCCAGAGGCCTCCAGAGACCTCTGGAGGACCAGCAACAGACAAGAACATCTGAAAAGATCGATCCTCGACCCCCGATACTCAATTCTGAGTATCGTTTAACCGATCCCCATCCCCAGCGGCGTGGCCTGTGCCCCACTGGTCGATCTACCCCCCTAGATGGGGATATAGGCCGTCCCCTTCGGGTTTCGAGGGGTGTATCCCCAACTGGGGTGGTAATTTGGTGAGGGTCTCGAAGGGGATGGGGATGGGGATGGGGATGGGGATGGGGATCGTTTAAACGATACCGAAATTCTCCTCATCCTTCCAAATCGCAGGAAGGAGGTCTCCTGCGGCAAGCGGTGTTCTTCGCGAACTGGTGGTCGCCGCATGCGGGGCAATACCAATCACCCTCCTGCGGAGGAACGCCGTTCCTCTTCTCCCTCCTCCGCGCTACCTTCTTGGATCGCCATCTCCTTTGTTTGCTTTTTGTTCTTCTATCTCTCTCTCTGTCTCTCTCTTTCTCTCCATCTCTCTCTGTCTCTCTCTCTCTCTCGACGTCCTCGTGCTCCTCCTTCAAATCATCCCCATACCCCCTTGCTCTGCCTGACTGATAATTTCTCTTCCTTCTGGAACCACCAAGCGTGTCGTTAGGACAGACCGGAAGGTTCGCCTCCGACCTCCTGGAGCTTGAGCATGTTAGTGAGACGGATGAGAGGCGGCCTCTTGTGCTGGCGACCTTTTGTGATGCTTGTTGGTGGTTCGTGCGTCAACGCTGTGCACATACGTCCTCTGGAATTGCCCGGAAATAGAACGTATGGTGGGTGGTGGGCAATGATTTCTACACGAGTGAATGCAACAACTCCAAGAACGAACGGAAACTCCGTTTCACAACGGAACTCTCGCATCAGCGTCGCACACGCTCTTCGGTGGCATCTCATGGGAACCTGCCATACCCCATCTTGCTGGCTTTCACGAGTCAACGATCGCCGACGCTATCCGACGCCAACAAACGCTAATCGTCGCTAGCCCGCGCTAACTTGACGCTAATCGACGCTAGACCGGCGTCCCGTCATCTAGTACCAGACGCTGGCGCACGCCAGTGAGTCCGAACAGTTGGGTTACGAAGACCAAAACAGGTTCCAGTGAGCCACCGAACACACGCACTCAAAAGACACTGCAGCAGCTGCACGCCTGGAGGGCGACCTCGAAACGAAGACCTCGCACGACGACTCCTCGAACCGTGCGCGACAAAAACGGCTATGCAGCCCTGCAGCGCCTGCACGGCCGAGGGGCAACACCGTCCTCGGAGCGAGCCTGCCCGCTGGCTGCCGCCGCCCCGTCCCCGCGACCCGGGCAGCGCCCGCACAGACGGCGGGGGGCTCCGCGCGAGGGTCCGGGTGCTCCCCGGCGGGCCTCGCTCGACAGCGGCGACGGCCCCGAGGAGCCACGCACCCGCATCGTCGTGGGAGGCCAGCGGCCAAGCAGCGGGCCTGGGCAGCTTCTGGCGGTGCGTCTGTGCTCGTCGCCTCCTCGCGCGACGCCGCAGCTGTGGCGCCGCGCTGCGCCTGTGGACCTCGGCACTGCTGAGAGAGTCGGAGACCGGGTCCGGTCCCCGCGGGACCGCTGCTGGCCGTCGGCGTCCTCTTGCCAAATGGAGCCTCGAGCGTCGGACCACGAGCCGCAGCCTGATGACTGATGGCAATCCCCCCCGCCGAGAACCAACAGGCGTGTCCCACCAGTCTGTCAAAGGAGCCGTGAACCTGGGACACCACGAAAAATCCACAGGTGTAGACTGGATGGGTGGAGGCCTGGCCAAACCCAGCGCGGAATCCACAACTGCGGATTCAGGGAGCTTTTACTAGGACGACGCGGGGCCTCGGGCGGACCCTCTGTCTCGGGTGGTGGCCTGCTTTGCGGCCCTCTCTACCGTTTCTTGCGGCGAACGGCGCGGCACGCCATCGATGGAGCAGCACCCCGGCGAATGGCTTCTCCTGTGATGACAGAAGCAGGTACTCCAGCTGCATGTGCAACAACGTTGGCCACCATCAGCGACGGCAACTCCGCGCTGTGAGCGGCCTTGTCAACCCCCTTCCCTTCAAGAGCCGCGCGCCAGGCGAGGGCGGCGCTGTGCGCCGCAACTGCGGCACTCGACGGAAGCAGCCCTCTCACACAACAGCCCGAATCGATCAACAACGCCAGTCCGTTTCGGCTGGTACACCTGTTATGACTTCCTAACGGCCATGGCCATTCCTTGAAAGCTCCGTATTTCAATCCCCCCCAAACGGACTTCGCATCGCGCTGAAGCGCGGGTAACCCAACGGGGGGGGAGTTTCTCGTCGTTCCCTGACGTGTGGAGTTCAACGAACAAGCTTTAGCACAGATGGACTCATTTTCAACACCATTCAAACAACCAACATAATAACAATCATAATAACAGACACATTCTTCAATAAAGACATAACTCACAAACACAATCTTCAACAAACACACGATAACCAACGGTTTAACATTCAACGCGCACGCAATTACCAACCCAATGGTCATTAGATACCAGACGACCACCAACACAGTCTACGACAAACCCAGATGATCACAAAATTAATCTCCAACTAACCGACGGCACTCGCTGACACAATTTTCGACACACATTATAATCACATACAACATTTCCAACAACACACGATGCCCGATTGCCGTGGCCCCCGCGCCCCCCATCTGGCCTCTACCTGTGATATACACCAACACCTGATGAATGCCATCGGCCCGGCGCTCCAGTTTCGCATTTGTCTGCTTCACTGAATTCCTGTGAGGCACATGGTCGACCTGTGCCTGGACATCGCCCGCCATGTCGTTCATGCGCCATCTCGGCAGGTCCCAATGCCCATCCATAATGGTTGGCAAACTCGTGCGTTCCTGCATCCATTGATGATTTTATTGCTGCATGCCCGCGGAGCCCGGGTAACGCACTGGCCCCTTAGGGCCTCAATCGAATCCGACTACTCTGCTACCCTAGCGCGCTCGAGCCCAAGCGGTGGGGATGCAATGCCTTGCATCAGCTCGTGAACATGTTTAATCACATATATAAATATATGTATATATAAACATTATCGTGTCACATTCCCCCTTAGTTCACGGGGTTAGCTCGGAACTGCCTCGCAGCTCAGCTCGCGCGCATCGTTCTGCAACTTTCGCACCGCTTGGGTTGGCGCCAGTGCCGTAGGGCCTCTCATGCTCACATGCGACCTGTGGCCTTGCGCTGCTCGTGAAGAAGCCGAGCCCCTCGCACCCCTTGCGTAGCTCGACCGCGGACCACTCCCAGTGGCAACGCCTGCGCGCGGCGGCTGACGGCAGCGGATTCTCCCGCTATTGCTGGCGGAGCCAGCTGCTCCGCCTGGGCATGGTCCGCCTTGCCGCAGAGCCCCCGCATCCATGCGCGAACCTCGCTGGAACCTACTGGGCGCTGGAGGCGAGCAGGCCGCGGGGGATCTGCGCGGCACCCGTCGCACCTACCATTCGCGTCACCTGCGTGCCCCAGAACCTGTCGGGCACCTCGGCGCGTGGAACGGGCGACGCCGGGCGATCGCCTGCCCCCGCGGGGGCGAGGTCGGATCCCTGCGCCCCGGCGATGACAGTCGCCGCCAGGACCACTGCAAACAGCTGCATGCGCCCTGACGTAGGCATCGACCGAAGCGGCAGCATGCCCACCAGCGTCAAAAATGTTGCCCCTTCGGGCGGCTGGGCCTGCAAGTCCGCTTTGGCGTTAGTTTCTTATCTGCGTGAACCTTGGCCATCGTGGCGGCGCGGTTCAGAACTTCCTACTGCGCGCGAAGGCACTTGGTCTCCAAGTGTCGCGCTATGCCGCATCTCCGGCGGGGCATGACCATCTTGGCACCTGGGTTGCCAGCGTTGACCAGCAACATCACGTGAAAACCACTCTCAGCAAACGCACTCTTCAATCAGACCCCCCTTGCCGAACTATTCACCGCGCCCGCGTGCTTCGCCCCCGCGCCGGCCGCTCGCTCAGCGCGCGATTGCCCTGCTGGGCGCTCCAGTCGTTGATCAGGTGAGCCCGGGTCCGCAGGCGGCCGCCGCCCACGGACTTCCCCCCCGGGCTCTGGCGCCCAGTCGCTGTTGACCTCCGTCGCAACCACTACGAGCGTCTCCTGGAAGTGCAAGAACAGCTCGCACTGCGGATGCAGATCGAGATAGTTAGCGACCCTCTGTAAACAAACCAATGATACCACGTCGGAGCCACCGTGCCCTGCACGAGGTGCCCCGTGGCCTGCTGGATCTCGAAGCGGTCGGGCGCCGCGCGCAGGGCCGTCGGAGCCATGCTTGGGGATGTGGCCGCGTAGTCTGTGGGCCATGCTGCGATCATCTTGAAGATGCCACCAGACTCGGCTCCTCTTTGATGTGGGCTGCCTACTCGGGGCATGGTCTTCACCTGGAAGTGGAACTGCACGAGCTGTTTTAGACAATCGGGATGTGGTCTGCGGCCTCGCGCCAGGTCGTCGCCCCCGTGGATGATGGATGACCATCAACTCCCGCTCTCGCTGGCAGTAGAACTGCATTGTGACCATGGCCCTGGTGAAGTATCTCTTCCATGGCCTCCATGATCACGCCGTGGGGAGAAATGACGCCCTCCTCGCGCCGTAGAGCGCCCGCATCAGCTGGTAGAGGACCCCCTCCGCCCCTTCGCCTCGCGGAGGCACCGCGTGAATATCCCGATCGGTGCACCTGTTAAAGAAGGCAGCGGAAACGCCGTGAACTCGAGCTAGTCATCATACGCAAACCGCGCGGTATAACAGCTGGCCGGCCGCGCGCGAGAGCACCAATCGGAATGCTGCCAAGAGCGGCGCGCCCGCATAAGTGTCGCCCATTATTACAATCGAGCCGCCGCAAATCTCGAGCGGATCGACTCCGCGCCAGTGGCGTAGGACCTCTGGCCGTCGACCCGCTTGCCCTTCATGCACTGCCCATTGGCGAAGTGCGTGGGGGGCATTGTGGGGAAACTGGAAATTGCGTCGGGGACTTCATCCATCTGGCGTGTCCCGGGAGTCGTCCTTTGTCTCGGCCAACCTTGACAAACGCGGGGCTCGCTCGTTTCCCAGTTCTCGCAATGCGCACGTTCTGGTAGGTGCTCGCCAGGTAGTAGCAGCCAGTCTGGTTCCCCGTTGCCATTGCGTTGATCGAAAAAGGGGCCGCGCATAAAGACGAGTGAGGCCACGGGCATTTCCACGAAAAGCCCCGCAATCGTCTTTTGCGTGACCCTGGGGCTCAGGCCTGGGGAGCTACGATCCCAACTGGTCTAAATCATGCCTACCTCCATTTTTGCCTGCGTGTCGGCCGGGCCGAAACCACGTCCGACATCGGGCTGTCCTCTTATATGGCGATCGGTTGCACGTCGCCATCAATCTGCCACCGTCGCATTCGTCAAACCTCTCAAGCACCCTGAGGTGGTGGCTGGGGCTGGGGAGCTGCTTCGGCCGCGTGCGGCACTGGCTCCAGTGCTGGCGGTGCTGGTGCTGGGTCTGCTGCGGCTGGCACTGCCCGCCTCGCTGCAGCTGTCGTGGCTGCTGCTCGCACTGCAGCCTCATGCTACTCCTTCTCCTCCTCGGACTCAATGAGGCTCTAGATGCGATCTCTGCGAGTTCGAGCGTGGGAGCGGCAAGCGCGTAGCATCCTCCGCAGCCAGGAGATGGCCCCACCATGTCGATGAAAGCCCTGGTCTCATGCACCTGCGCCGCACCGAAGGTGGTACTGCCTCGCATCCAGCAGGGTTTGCACTCGATCTTGTCGAAGAGGCTCTTCGACCAACACTGTCCTCGACCCTCTGAGCGATGGACATGGCCGTCTTCTTGCCTGAGATCGTCGCGAGGATATGCTCATCGGTGCGGCTGTCTTTTCTGATCCAAGTGGCCTTGCCCCACCTCAGCTCCGCGCTGCGGTGCGGGAAGGTCTGTATATTGCACAGTGCGGCTTGGCGAATTCGCTGGTGGCGCCTCCGTTGGGGCGGCCCTTCAGGTGCTGGCACGGCGTTATGCCGCTCTCCTCCACAGGGTATAGGGACAGGACCCACCCAGCGCCGCGGACCATCCGGGCAATCACCCAATAGTCCAGCGTCAGTTTCCCGCTGTACCTCGATTCAGTCGCGGCCTTCAAGCGTGCGGAACGTTCTCCCGGCCATATGCTTGGAGTTCTCGATGGCTCTCTTGCTCATGATGTTTCGTCGGGCCCCCAAGAGGCCCCGAACCGGCGCCCAAGACGCCCCAAGAGGCCTCCCAGGAAACCCCCCAAAGACATCCCAAGAGACTCCGAGCGACATCCAAGAGGCCTCTGGCCTTCTGATCGCCCACCTCCTCCTTCTCATCTGCCTCTCATCTCTCCTAATCCTCCTCCTCCTCCTCCTCCTCCTCCTCCTCCTCTTCCTCCTCCAACTCCTCCTCTTCCTCCTCCTCCTCCTCCTCCTCCTCCTCCTCCCGCTCCTCCTCCTGCTCGTCCTGCTCCTCCTGCTCCTCCACCTCCTCCTCCTCCTCCTCGTACTCCTCCTCCTCTCTCTCAAGGATATCAGTTGCCCCCTCTCTAGCGTCTACACTTCCCTGATCACCTCAACGATCGTGGGCATCGTTTCTGGATGGGTTGGGGGGGATACATTTTGATCGCGACCTCGGCGAGAAACAGGTCGGGCGGCGTCCAGGGCACTGCAGACTAGCAACGGCCTAAATTAGCGCACAGGAAAAGGAAGGGCGAAAAGAGGACAGGACCAAGCCGTGGAAGAGACAAACAGCTGGAGGGGATACGCTAAACGTCAACAATTCAATCTCTCAACCTCCCGAGAAGCGTATCCTAACGAAGGTTATCAAACTTGCGCCGGGTAATCTTGCTCAGAGCATGCACCTGGTGGCCGTCACGATTGGATCTGGGTTAGACAAGCTTCAATATTCACACAAGACTGAAAGAGCCATGACGCTCGACGATATCTGGAGGGGCACCCATACTCAGCGTCACCATCTCCCATGCAGTGCACATTGCTGTTTACACGTGTTTCGCACCTAGTGACTAGCGTGCCGGCTTCGATAGCCAAGGAGCAGGCTTTGCCGCAGACGCCAGGACTCCTGCCCGTGCCTGGACTCCTCGGTCACCCTGCCGCAAACTCGTTTCGCCTGTGCCTCCACGGACACCGTGGTGAACGTGTTCTTATCAGGCGATTCGACATTGGGCCGAAGGGAGGAGGGGGAAAAGGGGGGGGTCTGGCTCCGCACCTCTGCACAATGCGACGGCTTGCCAGCCGTGCGTCCGATGGGGGAGACCCCACCTGCTCGAAACCGGCGCCAAACACAACCAAGCCCTGCTCCATGGGGGAGGGGGGGAGGGGGGGGGGCGAGGGCCCGCGCCGATCGGCAAAACCATGGATAAGAAGACGATCGCGTGGCCGCCGTCTTTCGCTTCTCACCACCTCTGCTCTGGAGAAGGCAGAGGAGGGCACGGCTGGCTGGGGGACGCGGGCAACCGAAGACCAATGCGCCGTCAGTCTCCTCTGGCTGTGCCGCCAGGGATTCCGCTTCTTCGGCGCCGAGCGTCCCGGGGCGCCGTCTCTGTACCATGTGTTTCAAGAGACAGGCTGCTTGCCCACATCGTGGTCGCAAACCTCAACACCGGCAACGAGGCTGCGGCTTGCTCATGGGAGAGGCTCGGGCTAAACCTTGATCTTATTGGCAATTGCTTGCGTCGGGCCCCGTGTACTACAATATTTCTCACGAGTGTCCATCTACCATTTGCGAACGCGGACCCCATACAATTCGCCATTGCACCCTGGATGCGCAATACCTGTGGTGCAATCCGCGTGGCGCAATTCATCATGAAGAAACTGATATCGTCAACTCCACCCGCCCGTCACTTGTTGGCAAAACTCACACACATGCCGTAAGTGCAGCAACCCTTCGGAGCTTGCTCGCGAAAACGCGTGGCGCGGGGACGTACGAGCCCTGCTCGTGCAGATGCGTGACTCGGGCGGGCGAGAAGTGACGGTGACGACGCTATCGCCGACGACTGCGAATAGGATGGAGATGGCGATGGCGATGATGGCGAGGGCGACGACATCGATCATCGACGATGACGGTGATGACGACGGTAGTGATGATGACAACCATGATCATTTGCAGGAGGAGGGCGCAATATGAGTAGCCTTCCCCTTGAGACGAGGAGAAAGGAGGGGGGGAGGCGGTTCTCGGAGACGGAGGCGCGGGAGGGTAAGGAGGGAGAGGATGACAACGCTGACTGGAGGCGCAGACTGGTAGCCCGAAGAGGGATCGCCTTCAGACCCTGGCCGTTGCCGCCAGCAGCACCGCCTGGCGGGGCTCCTCCTATTCCTTACTCGTCATACTCGTCCTCCCCCTGCGTCGGCATCATCCCTGTGAGGCCTCTTCCACCTCATCCTCCTCCTCCTCCTCCTCATCATCATCAGCAGCAACAGCATCAGCATCAGCATCAGCATCCGCATGATCATCATCATCATCAGCATCATCATCACTACCACCACCATCATCCTCATCATCATCCTCATCATCATCATCATCATCAGCATCATCATCATCAGCATCATCATCATCATCATCATCATCATCACCATCATCATCATCATCATCATCATCATCATCATCATCATCATCATCATCATCATCATCATCATCATCATCATCATCATCATCATCATCATCATCATCATCATCATCATCATCATCATCATCATCATCATCATCATCATCATCATCATCATCATCATCATCATCATCATCATCATCATCATCATCATCATCATCATCATCATCATCATCATCATCATCATCATCACCATCATCATCACCATCATCACCATCATCAGCAGCATCAGTATCAACACCATCCTCATTCTCATTCCCATCCTCATCCTCCTCCTCATCCTCCACCGTATCATCATGATCATCCTCATGTTCAAGCTCATGATCATCATGATCATCATCAGCATCAACACCATCATCATGATTCACACCATCCTCATCATCTCCCTCGCCCTCATCCTCATCCTCTCCCTGGTCTTGCCTATCTTGGTCTCCCTCCCCCCCTCACACCACAACCTTTTTTGGCTCGAGCACACGCCTAAGCCTCCCTGAGGCTGGGGTGCGAGTTACAGCTTTTCAACCACGCCAACACATCCAATGCTCCACCATCTCCGTGGAGACCTTCGTCGACGTTGCTTCGGTCTCTCCAGCTGGTCGTGGCAACGTCCTGGTCTGTGCAAAGTCTGGATGTTCGGGACGGCTGCGCCGCCCGATCGGTCCGCGGAGGCGAGGCCGACCTTGGCAGACGTGGGGCATCTCGGAATGCGCAAATGCATGAAGTTGCCGGCTCGCACGCGCGTCTCGCAGATCACTTCCGCCCCGAGGACGGTGCAGCACGCGAAGGATGAGCTGACAGTCAGAAGCCACAGAGGCTGCTGAAAGCATGGGAATGCTCTCCACTTGTCCTCTGCTCACGCACCAGGCTCTGCAGTCGGACCTAGGACACCATCCGCTGGCCAAAGCGCCCCGAACCTTAAGATCATTCGAGGGTGCCCCCCCCCAGGATGCACAAGAACATCCAACAAACACGAAAAACATTAGGGTACCCTCCCCGAACCGACATCGATCTTTAGGGGCCTACTAGATGGGGTTGGAGTAGATGGGGTATAAGGTCGCGCCGCATTGCCGATACATCGGCGATGCATCGGCGATGCATCGGCGATGCACCCGCGATGCATCGTCGACGTGGGCGATGCATCGGCGACGTCGACGTGAAGCAACTGGGGCTCCACATCATCCGCACAGGCGAGGCATCGGCGATACGGCGCGATCCTCCGCCCCCATCTGCTCGGAACCCATCTGCAGAGGCCTCGAGTCGGACACCTCGGCCCGACTGTACCTTACCTGACCTGAGTGGAACTAAGCTCCGGAGTGCCCCGCCCCCTCGTCCCATCGTCGCAGCCCCCGGGGCCACGGGGCGGCGAGGAGATCGTGCGGCCCGTCCTACTGCATGGCCGTCCTTAGCTGCCCCAGGAGGGGCGAAGCCGGCAGAGGGGGAAACCCCTTGGCGGGGAGGAGGAGGAGGAGGAGGAAGAGGAGGAGGAGTACAGTTGGTCTAACGTGAAAGGGAGGAGGAGGAGGAGG